TGAGCAGCTAAGAAGGGTTCAAAAATCGTTTTTTTTAACAGTCTTTGAAAGGCAAGTGTTTCATGACCAGAACGCCAAACAGGATGATGAAGCTCTGCCCAGAGGCTGTAATCACCCTGAAGTACCAAAAATGAGGGTATCACCCAAGCATCATTTCGTAGAATTTTTTCCGGGGCCCACATAAAGACTCTCGACCAAAATCGTTTAACACAAGTCAAGCAACTGTTCAAAACAAGTCAAGCAGAAACCAACCATCAGTTATCCAATTTATCTGGTTGGTGGTATACCTACCCCTCTGAAAAATATGAAAGTGAGTTGGGATGATGACATTCCCAATCTATGGAAAGTCATAATCCATTCATGTTCCAAACCACCAACCAGTTATCCATTGAACCCCTATTTCTGCTGGTTAGAAGCCCGTTAACCAGCAACCACCTTGACCGTGAAATCTTGATGGACAACTTCCACGGTTTTACTGAATGTTTTTCGCAGCATTCCACAGCTTCGAAAAGGCCACGAATGTACTAGTTGGATACCCAGTATTCATGGAAGTTATCTGTACTAATTACTAGTGGACAGGTATACCATCTGGTCAACTATGATAGGCAATGTTCAATAGCTATCTTAGTTTATCAGCGGGTATCTATACTACCAGTGGACAGGTATTATAGGTATAATGTGGGTAAAACAATGCCATAAACCACCCCTGACTGGGAATGGTTTATACATACCACCTATAAAAATGGTGACTGGAGGATGGTAAACATGGCAGCCAGTTTTACCAACATTTTCATAGATTTCGACATCATATATATATATTTCATATGGACAATATAACATGAATATTCAATATATATCGACCTGGGAATATCATGGATATATATATATAATATATCCATATTATATATTCCATATTAATATCCTGAGCTTTTTTTATGGCAGCCAGTTTTAGCCACAGTTGCTATCCATTCTATAGCTGACTATTCATCCCCAACAGACCCTCCATGGTGCCCTTGTGGCTTTGTACCAACATTTGAAACATTTGCCCGAAAAATCACCCAGTTTTGTAGCTAAGTATACCAGCACCATGGTTTGCATACAATGTGAGGCCCCCAAGATATCTAAGTTGGTTTATAACTTTATAACTCCAATAACTATGGTTTATGGTACTTATAACTATAGATACTGGGGCGAATCTAAACCAACAAACATCACTGGGGGGCCTCACATTGTATGGGTAATACATAATCCCCATATTCTTGAAACCGTTGAAACCCTTGAAACCCTTCATAACTGCTGGTGAATTCACCTGCAAAACTGAGCCCTCTGGAAGGACACTTTTCGGACACAGCCGTAGGCCACTTATACCCTCTGGTCATCAAACGTGGCAATGGAAAATCAGCCATTTATAGATATACATGTATATATATATATATGAATTATATATGATATATGTAATATACAGTATCATAGATGATTTTTCCAGCTTTAAACCTCCATTTACTTCGGGCATTTGCCAAGTTTGATGCCACCAGAGGGTTTGGATCACCCTATTTACTCATCCACCGGCGGCCCTCGTTTTTTTGTTTCGGAATCTGCATCCAGTATTCCCCCCCTCGCAGAGGATGTCTGACCTGCTTTAAGCAGATTTTTCGTTTCCCCAACAGCAGCTGGTGGCGGAAGTGTTGATCCCCAGGGAAGACACATGTGAAATGGATATCACGTTGGTTTTATAGGACTCAAGAAACAGAAATCATGAAATAAAACCAAATCATGTTTCTGATCAGAAATGGATATCACATGGATAATCATGAAATCTTTTTGGTTACATATTTTACCTATTTTCGACAGCAAATTTGGCAGAGCTTTTCCCATCGTCGGAGTTGGAGCGTGTTGCAAGATATGCTACTTGGATGTGGCCCCAGGCATTCCGTGGCTTATAAACCATAGTAATCCATAGAACTATTCCATAAATCTGACAGGCTTATTTCACCATGGTCATAACATGATATATGGGGCCCCACCAAAAAGTTGGGCAATCCTTTTAGTGGCCATTACACATCAGTACAATGTGGGGCCCCCCAGTTATAAGTTGGTTTATAAACCCCATTAACTATAGTTATAAGTACCATAAATCATAGTTATTGGAGTTATGTTCACCAACTTAGCTATCTTGGGGGCCCCGCATTGTACCATACCGATATTTCCTGTCATTTCATGTGGCGTGGGGTACTACTCCAGCCATCTACTGTACTCTGTTGGATCTTCGCCTAAGAGTAGCCGTCGTTTCGACGCGGCGGTTAAGCTGACGCCATCTGTGCACGGCAAGGCGCAACAAACGTGGAAATATTCGAGATAAACAGTTTTCATGAGAAAATCCTCCAAAAAATTCCTATAAACAGTGGATTTCCCATTGCCAAACAAAAATGCTGCGAGGATTGGGGGTTTAATCCTGCATTTCCTGAATTCCAGCAGGCTCTTGTGCACTAATCATCTGCCTTAAATCGGTGAACTCCCATGTGTGTTCATCTTTTTCATATATTTTCCACACTTTGGATGAAGACTCAGCACGCCTAAACCATCCTAAAGCCCCTTTCTGTTCACTGATGCAGCAGGTTTTTTTTCTTCCCACCTGTTGCTACCGCATGCGCTGTTATGGCTCCCACAGCCATGGGCCCTGGAGAGAGGAATTGCGAGTTGCCAGGCGGATCGGCGGTTTTGCTTCGTTGTTTCCGAAAATGGGGGACTCCAAACCAATCTTTTTTCACTTTTTGGATGATTTCACACCAGTTGATAGGTGGTTTATCCCATTATTTATAGGGCTTCAACCATCCAAGGTGATGCAAGATTTCTTCCATCCACAGTATGATTGTGCGGTCACCCATTTTAAGAATCACGAATCTTTATAACCAACCAGAATGATCATGGGGATGTATGTGTGCTGTACAGCCACCACTGTGATATTTGGCAGTGTCTTAAATGCGGTATCCCCCCAGCATGCTTACTTTCAATAGAGAAAATGATCTGGTTAGTGGTTTTAACCATCTTGAAAAATATTAGTCAATGGGAAGGATTATCCCATATATTATGGAAAATAAACCAGTGTTATCAATTCATGGACTTTGAGAGCATCCTATTTTCAGAGGAACTCGTTTCCGTAGTAAACACCCCATCCAAGCGCTAGAGAACCATAATAATTCAGACCTCAAAAGTTTGCCAGATTATAGTTTCAATTATAGTTTGCCGGATTATTTGGGTGTGTCTGAAAATAGTGTACCCCTAAACCCAATGGTTTTGCTGATCATTATCCTTATTAAATGGCTATTTGTTTGGGAATATACCCTATTTTCAGACAATCCCATTTAGACCTTTAAATCACAATAATAATCCTTACTTATTTTGCGATAGTTACCCCTACCATCGTTCCAGTAAGGTTTCGCCGTTTTTTTGGTGAGGTCGTGGTAGCCTGTGACGTACGCATGTATGTAATGTAATATAATGTAATGTAATGTTATGTTATGTATGTACAGGATCACTAAAAACGAATCGTAGCTGATTCCTAGCGTTTTTTTTTGGTTAGTTGGACATTTATACATAGGATCAGCCGCGAAGAAAAGGGGACTTACCAGGGCGCCAGGGTTCCTCCACGTATCCGTGGGATGATCCTCAAAGTAGAGCTTTTCTGTATGACCCCAGCCGTGTGAATAGTTGAGAACCAACATGACAAAACATGTGAGTACTTGGTGGCTCATCCCACGGCTCGTAAGTGGCTTATAACCCCAGTTATTTCAGTGGATTAATCCTACTTATCCCATGTAAATCACTGGGGTTATAACCCACTTACTAAGTGGGATGAGCCACCAAGTAGTTGGTTCCTTTCTAGACATTCACCCATATCCACATTGGATACATTGGTCTTGTCTCAAGATTCGGAACCCTAGAATCCGTCATCCTACTTTCCCATGAACAATTGCCGTTTTGGGGTGCCATTTTGAGAGACAAAGCCGCAACTATCATCTGCTTGAAACATTAAAACATTTTAAAACCAACAACATCTGCGGGCCGTTCCTCTCAGACAGGGTTATTTCTGTGCTGCTTTTCCGCAACTCTATTGGCTGCATCTGACTTTTTTCGCCTCCTGTCGGCTTAGACAGCTGAACATCCAGGTTGAAGACTTGGTATGAATGGTGCTTCATCCAAATGGGAATTAAACTACTCATTCAATGGGAATGACATAGAATTAACATAGTAACATGATATATACAACCAAGAATATGAAATGATATGAAATCATATATGACATTTGGATTTGTCCAGAACTGGGGGCTATACTCCAATTCGTGGAACACAGTTCACGCAGTTCGCTCACCTGGTGGATGTTCTTCAGCTCTGGGCAAACTGGAATTAAACATTCAACTTTCAAAAGAGAGGAACACGCAACATCTTCCACCACTGAGACTTAGTTTTTGCATGTTTTTGCTTGAATCATCATCCTTACCCTCCGGTGATGAAACATGGGCTGGAAAATCCACCATTTTGAGTTCGATGATTTTCCCAGCAAACTAAACCGCCATTTCGTTGGAGGGCAACGTTGGTAGCAACTCGTTGTTGCTGGGTCCGAACTGGGGGACCAGTTCCAACAGTTTTACCCATTCCGGGTCGATTTTTTCGAGTTTTGGGGTAGATTCCTACTTTTTGACAAGCCCATGTGGCTATGTTGATGTGAAAACAAAAAGGATCTTTGCAATGTCTCCTGCCATCTCTGAGCATTCATGGATCTGCAATTGGCAGTGTTCCTCCCCACACGCCGTGTGTGCTACGTAAAAACAGCAAGATGCTAGAACTCCTCCTCCGCGGTGTTGGAATTGCTCCAATGTTTTCTATCATGATCGCCCTATGGAGCTCGTCCATTTTTTCTTTATTCAGAAATTCTAGCGACAGCCATTTCAGCCCATCTCCATTTCCTAAAACTTTCGCAGTTTCTTTGCTTTTTCGCCAGCTCAGTCGACGTCCCAGGCATTTTTCTTGTTGAAGGCTTCCTCTTTCTCAAGCTGCCGAACCTGGCTGGAAAATCATGGCGTTCCTATGAAAAGCTCCACTGGGGGGATTTCCCATTGCCATATTTGATTTCCCAAGGGTAATGTCGAGACCATTTTTCTTGGCCTTTTGGAAGGAGGAAGAAAATATGGAGGATCCTCATAGTACCCCTTGGTACCCCCATTCCTTAGCCAAGTTAGTTTATATTGGAGGCTAACGATTGGATTCATGGCATGTATGGTAGAACCTGTTGGATATATCGATAGCTATCGTTGGTATCGGGGGATAAACCAACTTACAACTGGGCAGCACCACTTTGCAGGGATTTGAGATCGTTACCAGATCAGACTTGTGGAACAACACGTCTCGTCTACATCTGTAATGGGGGAATATCTAAAAGACATCATGCTTCAAAACCCCCGTTGCATGATAAAATAGGTTACTCCACGTATCTATAAGGTTCATAAACACATATCTAAGTCTAAGAGGTTTTCCTGGAGCATTTCTTCTTCTTGGAGCAAGAAATGTGGTGATGTGGTTCAACCAGGAACCCAGCTAAGGAAGCAACCTGGGAAGTTGCTTCCCAAAATCTTCTGCTGGCTGAATCCATATTCTGATGCTTCAATGGTTTCTAGTATTTTGTTGGTTTACAGTACCCCACTCACTTATTCTTCAGAAAATCTCGGTTTTCGTCTAAAAAATACCCATGTTCTGTGGTCAATAATCAATGTGTTTCAGCATCAATCTTCTTCTCAAGCCCAGGTTCGTTCACAGAGTGATCAACCAAACCTAATACATACATCTACATACACACCATGTGACGAAAAAAACCCTGAACACTCCGGAGTATTCTGATTTGCTGGTTGATCGACTTGTATCTGCCTGGGTTGACCCCCCTTGCTCTATCCGAAATACCTGGCGAAACCCACATCTTATCCTACCTTGCTGGTGAAACCCACATCTCGCATGGCCAGACTTCATGTTAATACTTCAACAAACTTGCTAGTACCCAAAGTACCTTTTTTTTGTTGCTGAACTCTAACAATTTTTGCCATTAGCAGCTGATTTGCGAATTGAAATATCGCTCAAATCCCAGACTAAGGAAATCTACATGTTTTTTTCCATAAATGGGGGTACCCCAATAGCTGGATGGTCAGGGAACATCCCAATCCAAACTGGATGAAAACTAGGGTAAAAATTTCTCTCAGTTTTCAGCCATCATGGAGCCTTGGGTAGATCCTCAGGGGTAATGACCCAGCTACGCGCGTTTACGCGACTGTCCAAGGTCTCCTGGCAGCATTTTTTAAGGCTCGACTTGGGGAGATATCATGGAAGAAGATGCAATGATATGGAGGTTTCCATAAATGGAGTACCCCTAGTTATCATCCATTTATACATTGGGATTTTCAATTATAAACCAACAAGCTATTGGGGTATCCCCATTTACGGAAACCACCAAATGTAATTATATATGATGATAAAATCTATTCATCTGGGTAAAACTCAAAACTAATCCAACAGCCAAATCAACATTTTAATAGGATTTATAGGTGTTATGTTTGCCATTCCCAGTCATGGGTTTATGATTGTTTTACCCACATTATATACAAGGTGGTGCCCTATAGTTAGCTAAGTTGGTTTATAACTCCCATAACTATGGTTTATGGCAGATATAACTATAGTATTCATGAGGTTTATAAACCAACTCATAACTGGGGGGCACCATCCTGTAATGGGATATTCATGGGATACTAGTCTTATGATGGAGATATAGCCCATTTGGGCAACGAACATAGCCTGATCGTCTAAAAAAATGGAGGATTCAACTGATATCGTACGAACACATGGATGGGGATTTACCCGGCCTGGTAAACGTTTACAGTTCGCCATGGAAAGATTCACCATGCTATTAAGAACGGTAAACCATCTATTTCTATGGGTCATCTATACCATGGCTATGTTAGTCATAACCAGAGGGTATAACTGACCATCATCCGAATAGCCAACCTGGTAATGACTAACGGTTTGCTATTGGAAATGGCCCAGTTTAAATAGTGGATTTCCCCATTAGAGATGGTGATTTTCCATAGTTACGTTAGTTTACCAGCGGGTATTTTCATGGATGTAACTTCCAGTAAATCAACCCAAAGTGGTGTTGTAATGGGGATATCATGGGACATATTATCTGGTTGGTGGTTGAGCCACCCATCTGAAAAATATGAAAGTCAGTTGGGGTTACTATTCCCAATATATGGAAAATCATAAAATTCATGTTCTAAACCACCAACCAGTTATGTAATGGGGATATTTATCGAGTATTGATGTGCCATGCAATGCGACAGTATCATGATGTGAGCAGCACCCCAGCATAGCTAGTTCTCACTGGCGCTCCGCTCTCATGGTGTTGGTGTCCCATGTTCCCAAGCGATTTGGGATGACCATGATGATCCTCAAACAGGACGGAACCATCACCCACTCCTCAACCCCCAAAAAACAGACCCGGCGCCAATCTTGATTGTGTGGCTTACCTTAATTAACATATACCCCAAAATGGCAACTTTTTTGAGTGGAAAGGAATCCTCTTTCCCTTTTGGCAAGGCCGTCACGTTACCTTTCGGGGATGCTAATTGGGATATGACCAGCGAAACAATCTTAATCTACGGAGATTCTACCAACCATACCTTTCAGAAAAATGGGGACAATAAGGGTCTGTCAAGAGATACGGGAGTTTGCAATGTTTACAAATTGTTTCTTTGATAAAACATGTTATAATCTTTTGTATATAGATAAATTTCCAATTAACACCTTCATTTCTAGTGGGTTTCCAATTGCCAAGTTGACTTCTCTGGCTGATATTCCGTTGAACCATAAACGTGATGAGGTGAAAATCGTGTTTTGATGGGGCCTTAAACGGTTGAGCAGTTGGTTGTTGTTGGTTGTTGTTGGTTGTTGGTTGTTTGTTGTTGTGGTTGTTGTGTAACCTGGCCTAGTCATATTTTGCTGCACTGTGCCATGGTCAGCTTGCAAGGGATTAGTGGGGGTCCGGTCCCTGGTCAATTTTATCTGAATGGGAAAGCTTTACTGCTTGGTGGTATACTTACCCCTCCGAAAAATATGAGTTCGTCAGTTGGGATGATGACATTCCCAACTGAATGGAAAGTCATAATCCATTCATGTTCCAAACCACCAACCAGTTTATAATGGCCACATTGAGCCCTTTTGTTGGATTGGCGACCATCCCCCAATATTGCTACCCTGTGGGAATCAAACATGGAAATGGAACATACACTCGCGAGTTCAATGATTTTTTACCATTGACGTAACCATCTACAAGGGATTTCCCAGGCATTGACGTTTGATGACACCAGAGAGTATACCCTATGCCCATTGTGATTATTTTTCCCTATTATGCGATTAAATACATCATCTAAATTACTAACTACAAACTACTATTACGTGATTATTTGTCCTTAATATTATGGTCAAACTACTACTCTTTCGGTTGGTAAATTTCATGTATACCTGGGCAATTTTTGATAGCAAAGTGTGAAATTACCATGGCATCTAAATAATCCATTATCCCATTCATATTCTATAATATATATCCCATGATATATACATATATACATATATGTATATATATATATTTCCTCCATTATAATAGCATTTTTGCTTAAATCATGGCACATATGAATCCACCATGGCATGCCCTTAAAAGGCGCCTGCACCCATACCTGCTGCTTAAGAGCAAAAATGATGCGTCGACCTAAGGTGAGGGCAAACATACTGAGGACCTGGAGATTCAACCGATTCAACCAGCAAAAATGGAGGTTTTTTCAGCAAATCACGGAAATGTAACCATGAAATTCCAATGTTTTTAGCCTCCTTCTAAATGGAGTTCCAACTGCCATTTTACAGCATTTTTATGGAGGTTTAGTCAATGAAAACGGAGGATTAATCATGATTAATCATCACAAATGAGAATTTGGCAGTCAAAAAATGGTGAGGTTTCAACTCATTTCAGCCCCAAAATTGGATCCTGACAGCTCTTCAAACTGACCAAACCCTGTGGTAATTTTACAGTTTGCGAACTGAAACATCACCCCTTTTTAATAGGCAAATCATCGAACGAAATGGACCGTTTCCCATGGCAGACTGTGAAATTGCTGGAGGGTGGGTTAAATGGGATAGATTTTGTTCTGATCTGTTTCCTTCCACTGCAGATCACTGCAGCCGGAGCTGCTGTAGATGGTGTGGAAATCGGGATTTGTCATCTATCGCAGAGAGTTTCTGACAAAGTGCCGAAGCTTCTATCGGGATTGATTTGACGTTGTGTATCTATCTTCATTTAAATATTATTTAAATCCAATGAAACGCATTGCATAAGGGGTGGGACTTTTGCAAGGCAGTTGCCCCCCGAGTATTTTCTGCAAATTCACCCAAGATTGCAACAGAAATTGAAACAAAACTGAGAGTCCAAGGAACAACTCTATACATCATGCATATACAGAGTATAGCAATCCCCAAAAAGATAGAATAGTAGTCTATCCCTATTTTGGTAGCAATTAACTTTTTCTATTTTTGGGGGACTGCTATGGATTGCCATAAAAAAAAAAATGTTCCCCTTTGACGCCAAGCCACAAAAAACGTCGAGCTTGATGGTTTCTGGTTTGCCTACGGCGACCCTGCCATTTCTTGGGGATGGAACATCCAAAAAGGTGAGTTTTTCTTGGGTCATTTTAAGCTGATTGGTGGTTGACCTACCCCTCTGAAAAATATGAATGGCTAAGAGTGGTTAATACTGGCTAATAGTGATTGATGACAACCACCAACATATAGTATATTTACTGGTTGGTGGTGCAATTTCACCATCTTGAAAAAGTCAATGGGAAGGATGACATCCCATATATGAAATGGAAAATGAACCACCAACCAGATATCATATCTTCCAATATCACATACGTTCATGTCAACCCTGGATTAATAAACCATGACTATTCATTGGAGGCTCACTTCCAACAGGAAAGCTTCGTACCCCCTATTATAGGACTTTGGATTTATGACACCAGGGTTTGCTGAGGACAGCTCAGATTTGCTGAGGACAGCTCAGGCCGCTGAGCACCATATCAGTTCTGGAAAAGGCACCAACTGTCTCTGAGACAAACCCTGGCGTTTAGACTTCTTCATCAGGTATATACCTGGTATATACCTGATATATACTGGTCAAGTTGGGAAAGTCATCAACCAACTTCTGCCCTAAATATTGCTGTGATCACGATTCAACTGAAAAGTTCGGACATCAATTGGGAGAGTTCGCCTAAAACACGAAATGATCTTTGAAATTTGTCAATAGTTAGTGAATGGTCTTAAAAACCACATTGGATGGGGCAAGGAACAGCTAGGGAATCAATGAAATGGTAACCCCCCAAAAAAGAAACAAGTAAAATCCTACTAAAAGCCTAGCGAGCATTGCTATTGTTTAAAGACTTTGCATGGTTGCTACCCTCTGGTAAACTAACATAACTATGGAAAATCATAATTTTTAATGGGTAAATCCACTCTCAATGGTCATGTTCAATAGCTATGTTAGTTTACCAGAGGGTATATTTACTGTGTAAGTTTTAGAAGCATCTGTACAAGTGATATGACTCATCTCAAATAGCTCCTGAGAATCGAACCAGTCCATCAAAATGGCAAGGCGTTCATCGTTCAAGCTTTGCCTATCCTGGTAGAGCTTTCAAGCTGGAAATATCAGTGAAATTTGTGAACTGGGAGGACTTCTTCCAGCAACCTTCAGATTTTTGGTACGTCGGTGGTATACCTACCCCTCTGAAAAATATGAGTTCGTCAGTTGGGATGATTTTCCATTCCCTTTTCTGAATGGAAAGTCATAATCCATTCATGTTCCAAAGCACCAAGCAGTTTTGGTACGTTAATCTCTTGATTTAGATATTAGTCAGTTGAACTTGGAGGACTTGACACCAAGCTTCAGTTTTTTGGTACGTGACTCAATCTGGTTGGTGGTTTTAACCATCTTGAAAAATATGAGTTCGTCAATGGGAAGGATGACATCCCATATATGAAATGGAAATAAAATTCATGTTCCAAACCACCAACCAGACATTAATATTCCATTACCAGATGGTTAATCACCAATTTAATCACGATTAATATCCCTATCAAATCACCATTGTCAAAAGATGGATATCCAGGAATATATCTAACATATCCTATTAAATCAGATATTCTTGATAGGGAATCTTCACCCATGAATCTTGATTCTTTAGGATTCCCAGACTTTTCCGTTTCTTCCAAAAGGCCAGGCGGTTTGACAAGTCTACCGCCTGCGATCTCATCCCCGAAGGGTTCCTCCATGATCTGAGCCAACTCCTGGCTGGATGTGGCTGGTATACCCTGCGGAAGCCAACAAAAATCAATGGGTTTCTATGGAAAAAACATGCAGAAACCATGTGTTTTAAAGGTAAAACAGGATAAACCATGTGTTTTTTCGATGTTTGACGTAGCCTCCAATATAAACATCGAGCAACTTCGATGAGATCATTTCCTTTGCAACAAACTTAGCCTAGAAAGACGGTGAGCTAGGTGCTTACGGCATCTTACGGCAGTTATGGCTCACAATGATTGGAGGCTGGTGGTGTAAAAAGATGGCATGATGGGAACAATGTTTCCTCAGTATCTTCCTCCAATTCGGAACAGCTAGAAATGAATGAGACCTTCACCAGTCTGTCTCATGTTGGTGCACCTCATGACCAAGCTGGTTGAATCCCAACCTCCGTTGCCACTATGACAATCTCCGTTTGATATTGCTGAAAAGGTGAATCCCCATTTGTTGTTGGTGAAACCAAGACCTTATGCTGGTCGAATCCATATGCTTTGCAATGAAACTCAACTTTTGGCTCCTCTCAATCCCTTTTCTGAGCTGAACCAACCCCGTTTCGAATGAAACATCTTCATCAATCATGGCTCATCCTAGATGCGCTGCTTGGAAGTACAGTTCCAGTTATAAGTGGATATATAGCTAGAGTTATAGGTGATATATCGTCAACCATGGTTATACCCATTGGAAAAACCTCAACTGCACCCCCCACGTGGCGGACCCATTCAGGGTTGACCCCCAGAAAAAATTACCCAACTATTTGGTGGTGTATTTCCATTGCGCCGTAAGCATATTGATAGAGAATTCATGGTCATTCGATGATGAATTCCCAGACTTCTCCATGAAAGTTGGGGGGTTCCGTCAACTTTACAGTGCCTTTTTGGCTCATTTGGCTGGATGCACATCCACCAGACTCGCCACCAGACTCGCCATGGCCGGATGTTTTCGATTCATCCTCTGTGGAGTAAAGTGCCCAGGCAATGAGTAAAACGATGATGGGAACCAGGACCTCAGTTGCTCCCGCGGATTTCCCCTCCAAGTGGCGCCTTGGTTTGTTCAAAAATCCAGGTTTATGGAGCAAAACTGGTGAAAACCATGGCGGATTTACCCTCTGGTAATTTAACAGTTTGCTATTGAACATGGCCATAGAAATAATGAGTTTTCCCATTAAAAATTGTGATTTCCCAAAATTGTGTTAGTTTACCACAGGGTATGTAACAAAATGGAAGATGATGTTTAAAATCATTCACAGAGGATTATCAATGAAGCATCTGGATAAGCTATGGTAAACCTTGATAAAGATGGGAGCTTCACGATCACTGGGAAGAAACAAAAGATCACTGGCCATCTCAGGAACCGATTCATTGGAGGTACCTACCATATATAAGACCTATGTAAGGGCTATGTAAGGGAATATCCCCACAAAATATGGCCTTATATGGTACAGTACCTCCATTTTAGGATCCTGAAATTCCCATTGAAAAGATATGACCAAGACTTCCACACGTGGCACCCAACATGTGACAAGTCGAGCAGCGACTCGCAGGTCATCTTGGTTTATCCGATGTGCAGATTTCGGAAGACACCCATATGACCCATACCTATATGGACATGGGTCAAATGACCCGAAAAGTGGATGTTCTACTACGAACATTGATTAGAGCTTTAAACTATCCACTTGCAAGCACATGGTATTTTCATCGTCAAATCCGAGTTTTGTGGCCTACAATATGTACTCATGCATATATATATATACATGTATACTAATATGCTTTACATGTATAGTATAGACTATAGGCGTACATAGAATAAAATCACAGACCTGGGAAATACATAGATGTAGATATAGATCATATTATAGATAAATAAATACATATATATATATACACACGTATATATCATATATGTGCCATATATGTGCCATGGTCAAATAACATGGTAAATCCAAGTCACAGGGCGAATGAAACCCAGCAAGACGAAGGGTAAAGTGCCAATCTGGGCGTGGTTTTCTGGTTGGTGGTTTCAACCTACTCCTCTGAAAAATGATGGAGTGAAAGTCAGTTGGGATGATTATTCCATTCCCTTTTCTGAATGGAAAGTCATAATCCATTCATGTTCCAGTCACCACCAACCAGTTTTGTTTCAAGGATCTTTTCACGGGGAGAATGCTGGGAGAATGCTTGGATTTCATGGCGATTTGACGGCTTTCGGCCAGAAACATCCAGTTCGCTATGCTAAATTCCCAAGGGAAAAGGTTCATTGGCATCCTCTTGCGAGGATGAAACATGAAACTCATGATGTTCCTATCATTTTCCTCCATTTTCCGATGTTTTTCATCATCATTTGTCCCCTGGTTTTTCACATATGTCAGATCAGTGGAATCGCAGATTGTGGGAGTCCTATGGCCACAACCTCCACATGTTTTCCAGGACGGAAGAATCATCTTTCAATCCTATTCTGGGCTTCATCTTCTGTTAGATATGGAGATTTTTTGGGGGATAGGTTTAACATTGTTTCTTTACCATCTACCCATAGGGATCAAACATGGCATGTCATGGGGAATTTAACCATCAACTTTCATGGGATTTTCAGTGGATCTGTGCTGGGATGTAAGGCAAAAAACCCGGCCTGGTGATCAGACGTGGCAATGGAAAATCATCTGGAAGTGGATGTTTTAAAGGGAAAGCATCGAGAAAATGCCATGGATTTTCCGTTGCCATGTTTGATGACCGGAGGATAGATATAAGGGAGCAGTCCGGATTTACACAGATGTTTCCCCTCTGGTAAACCTACAAAAAGCTATTGAAAATGGCCCAGTCGAAATAGTGAGTTTTCCCATTAAAAATGAGGTGGATCTTTCCAGTTCGCTATGTAAACGTTTACCAGGCCGGGTATATCGCAATCAAATCCCATTAAACCCTATAAATCCACTATTTCTATGGCCATTTTAGATATGCACAGATGGCCATCCTGGAGGAAAGCACCCAACCCAGTTCTGCTGGTGAGTGAATGTTACTCCATCTAACTATGGATATATATGTATATATATGTAATATATTAATATTATATATATATATAGATCCATCATAAATCCACTGGTTGATCTATTTACAAACCGACTTACCTAGCATACATCAACCATCAATACTCAATTCTGCCAGTTAAATCCCACTTTTTCCCGTCCTTTTTGATGCGTAAAACCGCTCCAATTTCTATCGTAACGGACCGTTCCAACGACGGATCCGGATCTGTGGGACATCCAGCGCCCCGCAAGTTGCGATGGACTTGAGCTGCGTGGATGTAGATTAATGTATATATTAAACAGAATATTAGAGAATATATAGTTCCATGCACAAAAAGCACATGAAACTCCATCGTGAATGTTATTCAGAATCGATGACTCTTGGAAGGACGTTTCCATGGCACCCTGGAGTTTTCTGTGCCAATGTACCCAAAGACGAATGAAGCGACTTGTGTGGACCGTGTAGCTTGCAGGCAATGGCAATTGAACCTGAGCCATCGCGAAAACCTTCTGGACACGTTTTTCCGAAAATCCTTAAACTGATGGATTCAGAAGTGAGAAAATTTAAGGGCTATCACTGGACAATCTATCATCATATTAGATATCATATTATGTGTTTTTGCATTGGAGGATTGCTAATGTATAATGCTTGGTTTTCATGGGGATTCCCAGTTCATGGATTATGGTTACCCTCTGGTAATTTAACAGAGCTATTGAACATGGCCATAGAAATAGTGAGTTTTCCCATTAAAAAATGGTGATTTTCCATAGTTATGTTAGTTTACCAGAGGGTATCACCAGTATACACAGGGCAGTAGAAATCCTGTCTAATCATCAACCATTTTTTTCAGCCAACGCTCATACGGATGCCACCAGAAAACCATTGGGGTGTCAGCCTGTAATACGACGTTCTGAATTTTCTTTAACCCGGACAGATCAGATCAGATATCATGGATATCATAGATATCATGACATCTCATCGTTACAAAATTGATATTATCATCAGCAAAATTGTATTGATAAGTTGTATTGATATTTAACATGATCATACATTATCATTGTTAAATTTTATTGATATTAAATCATTACACGATTATGATCAGCAACAGTGGCATACAACCAACAAGGCTGGGGATGCATCACGAAATTCCACGGATGACAGGTGAGTTTAACTCATCCCTTGCACAAGTGGGGAGCGATGTTTCGGATTTCAAGAGGAAAATCATGTGGTAAATGGCAGAGAACTCAACTATGCACAGAAAAGGGTAGCGCCTGCCTCCCATAAACGGTGGTGTAACTGTGCAACCCCAAGTTGGTATATCTTGGTATCCATGCCGAGTCATTTGACCTTTGTCAAACAACAGTCAGGAATGTACACATTCTATTCATCACATGTCAAAAGTGCATCTGTATTCCCATAAATTTGCCCATGATTCGAGAACCCATGCTGATCCCCCAAAAACCAAGGAACAATGAGGTCCAGATTGCACGAAATCGCCTGCAACTGTGTGATGCAGTTGTCCTGCGATGGTGACGTATTTGTGTTCATGACCATGAGCGAAATCGTTTGGTGCTTTGCACCACTCAGTAGGTAGGTCATGAACCCAGTTATAGGTGGACTTTCAATAGTTACTCTACTTCCCTGGCAAAAATCTGGCTGAATTATAACAATTCACCAAACTGAAATAGCTGAAGAGTTCGGCTATTTGGGGCTGATTCCCCAATGCGTTCACCATCATTCCAGTGACATCGTACGACGTGAGGTCAATAATTCATCCAGAATGATATTGCCATCATTGAACTCAAGAATAGTAGTGTTGAATGATGTTGGTTTAATGACCATTGTTTGATATTCAATCAACACTATAGTGTATCACGTTTAGATGCTAGTTATCAATCTAACCAGGTTAGATTTTTTACAAACAGTTTAGTGGTTAAGAATGGTTTTGAATCTAAGATCCCACAGCTAACCATCCCACAAACATTGGTCTGTGGGGATAATCGATCGAAATATGCACCGTGTTGGTTGTTCTGGGAAAATATATTTCCCAAACATATGTACATATATATTTAAATTATACATGTACATATATATATATATATATTTAAATTATATATATACATGTATATATGTATATGTGTATATATATATGTATATGTGTATATGTGTATATGTATATATATATAAAACTATATAAATGTAAATATATAGGTATATATAAAAACATAATATATATATATGTATGTATGTATATATATATATACATGTATGTAAATATATATATATGTATATATATATATAAAATTGATTATATGTATAATTATATAAATATATATTATATCAATCGTTAGCCTGTTTGTCTGTTGCCATGTCCGTATGCAAAATGTGGAGCCCAGGGGGCAGCCCATGAGCAGCCCCAAATGGAGCCCCAATGTATGTTAAAGACCCATGTTGGGTCTGAAAAAGGGTTCACCTCGGGCCTTGGCTTGCACAATCAATCTTGGTATGAAACAAACCTCTTGAGTCAGGTGACCCAAGTCTGTTTGGACAACACATTGGAGCGCCAGTGCCACACTTTGAGCGTAGTCATCGAGGGCCATCGGCCCATAGGGTTTTGGCTTGAGCATGGTGATTTCAATGATTTCATGTAATTGGTTTTTTTTTGCTTGAGACTTGGATTTTGTTACCGCATAGTGACATACTTATTGAGTTCACGAAGCATTTTTGACAACCTGATTTTGATGTTTGACCGGGGGCTATTGCCATGAAGCGCTTGCACGGCGAAGTTTTTGGCAGCAGCAGCGATTCCAGCGGCAGTAGTGATGATGAACCAGCCCCAGACATCTAGTAGCAAATCATTTTTTTGCTACTTTGACACCGGGTGGCATTTTTTTGAATTTCATTGCGATGGTCATACCATACATTGCAATTACGTTGGGCAGGGAGTTTGTGAGAGTGCTGTACAGTGCTTGGGGAACTCTTCCCACTTCCCGTCAGCTCCTTTGATGTAAGGAAGCTGCTACTACATCAACGTTTGCACCATCTGAAGTTGCACGCGAAGAAGCGTAGCAGTTTTCAGAGACTTGTCTAGTGTGGAGGACGTGGTGTCAAGGTAGTGTTGGATGGTTTGATGTCTAGACTGGCTGAATGAATTTCCGACATGTTTTTTTAGGCAACTTGAAACCTCTTTCCTTTTCATGGGCACGGTGCCCCCCCCAATGCTTGGCACTTGGAATCTGCCGTTGCTATATAGTTGGTGTGCAGCAGGAGATCTATGACAAGGACAACTTCGAATATGGTCCAATTCATCACGGTGCATTGCCGGGAATCTGGTCACCTTCCGGATTGATCCATAGCTGCAAAGAGCAGGCCAAGATTGAGCTAGGGGTAGCACGGCGGTAAAACATACTTCTGCGCATTGGCAAGAATATGTTCATTTTTCAGTGACTTTTCTTGGCTGGATACTGTGATGACAACTGACATTGATTACTTGCTGACGCCTGTTTGTGTGCTATAACGATTCTGATTTTGAGTCTATGATTATCTCAAATTTTGCTCCTTTTCAATCATTCTCCAGCGTTGGCAAGAATTTGCCTTTGCTTCGAGTGACCTCTTCCATTGGCTGGTTGTGTGGGATGTAGCTTAAGCTGGGGCTATTGCACTGATCGTTTGGATTTGGACGATTTGCAGGCGCCAACAGTGGCGGCCAAGGCGCTTGGGCGCACCTTACATGCTGAGAACTTCTCAGAGCTGATATGGAAATTTGACCCAGTAAGGATAGTCAGGATTCTCCTTTATGATTCTGTGACATGGGGTTGGTTCCCACTTTGGGCTGCACTTTGGGCTGCACTTTGTTCCACTTTGCCACCAAAACTTCCCCCTAGGAACGGTTCAGAACGGTTCTGAACTATTGTGGGGGTGTTTACGCATGGTGTTTGGGCACGTTTGGACCAGCTTTTGGGAGTTTTTTGTGTGTTTATTGTTGTCTTAAATGATTTTCGCGGCTTCAATCCACCTGGGAAGGACCTGAAGAGGAAGGACTCTACAACAAAAAAAACGGCCGTGAAATCGGAGCTGGGGATTGAGCCTTTCCCAGGCTTTGTGCAGCGCATAGATTGAATTGTGATTGTTATGTTTACTTTTATTAATATTCGACTTCTCTTTTACGACTTACACAGTGTGAGACGTTTTTCTTTGCTGCGACATTTTTTAATATAGAAACTGCCCTTCCCTTTCATTAATAACTTCAAAGCTTTAAGGCCACGTTTTCAACTTAAAATTTTGATATGGAAAAAACATGTGCCAAAACACAGCCCCAAGACATCTGCCAGGAAACCGTTCTGAACCGTTCTTTGTAGAAAGTACCAAAAAACGCAAATAGTTCAGAACCGTTCTGAACCGTTACGGAAACGGAACCGTTCTGAACCGTTCTTTGGGGGGTGAAGTTTTCATCAGAGAACCGTTCTGAACCGTTCTTTGTGCATCCCAAAGTAGTGTTTTTTCTGCATTTATTTGAACAATATTTTTCAACTTGTTTTCTTTTACGGATATCTGATATCTTAATCATTCATCATATGATTTAAAACATCATTGCATGTTGAATCATTTCGCTTCATTTTCAACACATATCATTTCATACTACTTGATACTTTAGTATCATTTCATCATACCACATCTTATCACCATGTATCGCATCAAATATTTTCATCATGACAACATCAAATCACGGAGCCCTTTCTTCCACGTTTCCACGCTATGGTAATTCCACGGTATATAGACATAGACACAGAGACACAAATCGTACCGAAATAACATACCACAACATTCCACATGGAGTCATGCAATGTCAATTTGCATCATGTCATAAGTCGTATAGGTCAAGTCATACCATCACATCATATGAATCATATCGCAACATATCATGTCCAAACTCAACAAGTGCCTAAACTTCAAATTTGTTTTAAAGCTTCCTATTGGACTAATCCTGCAGCGCTCTTAATTCCAACTGTGCGCAGCTGGCTTTTCAAAAAGGGCATTGCTGCTCTTGGACATTTCGGCAGTTCGGGAAGTTTCCACGAAGGTAGGGTGAAAATTTTATTGGGAAATTGAATATCAACAACAGTTTTGACATCAATCTGGGCTTAAATCAGGGCTATGTATGGTGCTATGTATGGGGCTGTGTTTTGGAGAAAGAATCTCTATACGGAAATCTTGACAGAAACAGCCATTTAAACAGGCTAACGATTGTGCACATGCACATGCACATTTAAAGACATAAAGAAAATGGGGCATGGATAATCCTTGAAGGTAGGGTCAGGGTGTAAATTTTACTGTGAAATTGAATATCAACATCAGTTACATCAATCCGGGCTATGCATGGGGCTATGTATGGGGCTGTGTTTTGGAGAAAGAGACTCTATACGTATAAATTGACAGAAACAGGCACTTAAACAGGCTAATGTTTGATATAATATATATATATGTAATTATACATATCAGACTATATAAGCAATCATGATCCATTTTGGGATGACATCCCTAAATATTAACCATCACATCATTCCAATCATGCCGCAGCTGTCAGCTTCCACAATACTCTACGGATGTGTTGAGTCATGTTGAACAATACCACTGTCAAACGACAGTCGCAGAACCTCCGCTGCGATCTTGGGGCCAAAGATGGCCATTAAGAATGGAAAGCTATACATCAAGCGACGTACATCGGGTTCACAAGACAACTGGGTGTGCGCGATGCTCAAGATCGCAAAGGCAACACCGCATAGCAACAAGTCTCTGCTGGACTGTTTGTGTACCACGTATGGCTTTGTTCTGACGATTTTCCAGTGGATGCAAACTGAGCAATGCCGGTAGGCAAACCGTCAGTTCGCTTGGAGTGAACATGCACGTACCAGTAGCTACCTTGACCTAAAACCTTCTAACTATTATTATTGGGCTGGGACGGCCTGTCAGGTCACTACAATCTGCTAAGATTGGTTGAACCATCCTTTTCTTGTTGGTTGAAACCCATTCTCTGCTGCTGAATTCCCATTTAATTGGTTCTGGACAGGTTCAATTCCCAACTCTTGATGATTGAGCCCTTCATTTTCTTGGTTTATCCATTTAAGATTCCAGTTTGGAAATGATTGGGGTGTGAAACCAATTTTGGGACGTGATAAATCAAGTAACAAGTCGGGGTTCTTATCCATGCCCAAATCTACTTTTATGGCCAATAATATCTACCAACTTCGAAACACGTTCCATTCTTCGCTAATTAGGTTAATGATAATGTGTTTCTGTCAGAGTGGCAAACCATTAACTTAAGTTGCATTAAACTACCCAATTCACCAATTGGTTTACGCTTGATTGATGGGCAACACCATATTTCGCCCCATTTTTAGTTGGTGAACCAACCCCTTTCATTCCCAATCTCCTCAATTATTTCAATTGCAATTTCATCACATTCCCAGTAAATTGCAAATCTTATCTTTGGTTAAACTTTAAAGTAACCTTTACCTGCCAAGGTTCCAAATTTCTGATGGTTTTTAGTTGCTTTACCCGTAGCTTCATTGCTTCATCGTATGCAAGATCCATATTTCCATGGTTAACTTAATTAAGGTTGGTGAAATACTCCCTGCACCAGTTTAATAGAGGATCAACAATAATGGTCTCCAGCCCGAATTTGTGGTTTGTATATAAAGTTGTGCAGAGCGCTAGGTTGGGATAGTTTGTGATCCCAAATGGCTCATTTCCATGATATACTCAGAATATTGTTGGTAACTCCTCCATTGTTGGCGTTCCATATGCTCCGCGTATGGTATATTTAGCTATATAACTGGGTCCAGCATGCAAGCCTCATATATGGGGTACGATTGATCCACCATTAAGCTACAGTTTCGGTGTCAGAATCCACCTCAACTTAATGGTTAACCAACCATACTTGTTGGTAAACCCACCACTATATTTCTATGATCTTCTCATCAAGTGCTTGTAAATCCATCCTTTTACGGTTAACCAACCCTTCACTCGTAGGTTTCTTGGGAGAAGTTATCCCATTCCCACTACTATTGCTGGTGAAATCCCCCAAGTCACCATAGCTTTCACTAAAATGGTCGTCCATGACTTGGATGAGTTCGGGGTACTACCATTTGAGTTTGTCTGGAAATGGGGTAAGACCCTCTAAATGATCATTTTTAATGGGGAAAATGATGGATAAACAATAATTCTGGTTGGTGGTTGAGCCACCCCTCTGAAAAATGATGGACTTCGTCAGTTGGGATTCCATTACTCCCAACTGAATGGAAAGTCACAAAATTCCATGGTTCCAAACCACCAACCACGTATATATGTATGTATATATATAATATATATATATATAGGTAGATGATCATAAACTCCAATAACTATGGTTTATGGTAGATATATCTATAATTATCTATACCAACCATATATATATATATATGGGTAAATGATAATAATTCACTAACCTGAAATAAGGCCATTGGGGGATGATTCCCCTTATTAATCATGATTCCAGTGAGGTCGCAGTGAGGTCGTTATAATTTACCCATACATATACAATATCTATTAATATTAACTATTAACTATTGATTACCCAGATTTATCCAATTTAGGTAGGTACCTCGAATTTAGGTTCCCTAGATGGCCAGTGACATAAATCCATTGGTACTAGGAACCCCCCGATTCCCCCACCCCCGCCATCACTTCCGGTGTCCATCTGCGTCCACAGAGCCAGGCTCTTTCCCTCGCCGTCATCGCGATGTCGAAGGGGCCTCGCATCGAAAAGGATGAAATTTGAAGCCGTGAAATTTGGGAGTTTCATGAAAAATATGAGAGTTGAACTGACGAAATATCATTGTTAACGTTTTTTTATTATCATCACATAAGTGTAACAGTAATTATAATGATATTATCACATAATTGCATCATGATTATAACTGTCATGATTTTGATGACTATCATCACAAACAATCAAATCATTGGGGCATCCAATCCGTGAAGATTTTTGGAATTCAACCATCAAACTCTTGGGGGATGCCTCGGGCTTTGTTGATCTTCCAAATTTAAGAAAAAACTGAAAGAACATCAACTTTGGCGACAATATGCAAAACTCTGGAGAAGCGAAGAAAAGACCAAAGCCAATTTTAGTGTTTTGACGTTCCTGGAAAAACATGGATATATTGATTCAGTTTACAACACTATAGGGTCCTTTGCGAAGGTGGGGATAGAAGCGTAAATCCATATCTGGTTAAAGTGGTATCGCATTGTCCTTGGCTTGATGAAGGTATCATATATATATATACTGGCTGGTGGTTTCAACCCCTCTGAAAAATATTAGTCAGTTGGGATGATTATTCCCAATATATGGAAAAATAAAATGTTCCAAACCACCAACCATTTATATATATATATAATATTATATAAATGATTATAAATGTATCAATCCATCGATCATGATTCACATCTCTGAACCAGGGTGATTTGCTGGACCCCTTAAAGAGGGCGTACAACTATGAACATGGTAGTATTGAACATTGAAAGATGAAAGAGGTACAGCGTGTGTTCTTTTAACCATTATTTTAGATCATTGACTTTGTACAATGTGGGGCCCCCCAGTTATAAGTTGGTTTATAAGCTCCAGTAACTATAGTTATAAGTACCATAAAGCATAGTTATTGGAGTTATTTGCACCAACTTAGCTATCTTGGGGGTCTTACATTGTATAAAAATGGTGTAGCAACCATTAAAGCTTAAACAGCCATCGAATCCTATCAACTTCCAATATCGTCAATCAGCCAACCGGTATGCTCCAGTGGGCTTTTGGGGACCTGTTGGCAGCAGTTTAAACAACTATGATCCCCAAACACAGAGGGGCATAATACGAACAAAATGCCGGTACAGGTAACACATGTCAAACTGGTTGGTGGTATACCTACCCCTCTGAAAAATATGAAAGTCAGTTAGGATGATTATTCCCAACATATGGAAAAACTGTTCCAAACCACCAACCAGAAAAACACATTACACGACTTCTGCATGGAATTCATGTATCAATGGATTGATTCAAAGGAACATCCTATCCGAACACCATTTCACTCCCCAAAAATAGAGCCAAAAGAACTGGAAAATCTCTAAGATCATCCTATCAGGCCTTGTGACCACCATCTACCTACGTGCTTTTTCTTGCCTAGCTATCTGTCCGATCATGCACCTATCTATATGCCTATTAAATCCTATTAATCTGTCCATCTGTCTGTCTGCCTGCCTGCCTGTCTGTCTGTCTGTCTGTCTATCAAACAAATCCTAAGTGGCTATTGCACGTGGGAAAAGCTGAACCGTGATATATCAGAAGCTGAAACTTGGGTAAAAAATCATAGCCCTGATCCTGACTCTTTCTGCCATGTGATAGCTACTCTTTGATGCCCTGGAACACACATGTTTACCCTCTGGTAAACTAACATAACTATGGAAAATCACCATTTTTCAATGGGAAAATCCAGTATTTCGACTGGGCCATTTTCAATAGCAAACTGTTAAATTACCAGAGGGTAATTGAATTACTATTCACCACTTTGTCTACCCTTATTTGAAGGTGAGCCAGCCCATATGCTGATGACTAAGCTCCCATTCTTGGTTGGATACACCCCATAACCCAAATCTCCTCGAATCTTTTCATGCCATTTCCGCAACAGTCGAACAAATTTATGCTTGGTTTACCCAGATGCAGCTATTTTTACTGTTGCTTGACACACCAAACGGTTTACGGCCCCGCCCCAAACGGTGTACATCTGCGCGCCTAATAAGCATGGACAGACTGGACAAGATCAAGGTATGTGGCCTTCCCGTTCTTACCTCGTTGCCACAGTTTCACGCACAGGATGTAGGTCATGTGGAGTGCTACTTATCTGTGGTAAACCCTGGCTGCCATAGTCCCAACGACCATTTGGGGATGATTTTTCACCACCTATTCATAGTGATAATTCGGGATTGTTTACTATTGGGTTTACCACATTACTCATATACTCATAAAATCACCCGAAGTCTTGGAATGTTATGAACCTTGGATATGCCACATTTTCGTGAACAAATAGCTACAATTGGCAACCCCACAATTTAGTAAATCTGGCTTTAAGCATCCAATACTTGGGTATTTACCAACAAATTTAGGGATTTGGTACAACCACTAGCTGAAAACAAGGGTAAACCCACGGGTGAGTTGGGTCACTGAAGTAATAATGTAATACAGTTAGAAACGGAATATCCCAAGTTAGATTGATGGAGAAATAGCTATTCCATATATGTATATTGCTGTATATGTATATAGTGACGGACAATCACTTAGAACGTATTTTGGAAAAATTCCGGATTCTTTATGCTTTTTGGACGTTCTAAGTGATTATTCGTCTACGTTCTAAGCACCCCACTTAGAACGTTCAAATATCAAGATTCATCACTTAGAACGTACCGGGGAATTTAACACTTAGAACGTGTCTAGGTCAATGATGATAGTGGAAAGGCTTGTGAAATTATGTTGCCGCACTCAGCGAAGCCACTCAGGGACCAAATAGACATGTATTGGTGACGCACTTCAAGAAGCTATGTATCTACGTGTGCATACATATGCTGACAATTGTTTACAATTGCATACGTGCAGTATATATAGAGAGTTCCAAGGGCTTTGTCCAAACCACAACACTCCCCGTGCCGCATTGCCGGCTATGGCCGCGTCATCTTCTGGATCGGCGGGCGATATATTTATAATGTATGTATAGTTGCAATGTGAGGCCCCCAAGATAGCTAAGTTGGTTTATAACTCCAATAACTATGGTTTATGGTACTTATAACTATAGGTACTGGGGCTTAAAAACCAACTTATAACTGGGGGGCCTCACATTGTATGTATATACATATCATGTTAATTATTCATCATTATAGCGACGGACAATCACTTCGAACGTTCTAAGTGTTGGTTTTACGTTCTAAGTGTTGAATTGGCCTCCCTACGTTTTAAGTGTTGGGTTTACGTTCTAAGTGATGAAATTTGCCTACGTTCTAAGTGTTGATTTCGTGCCACGTTCTAAGTGATTGTCCGTCACTATAGACCCAACAAGTTACCGAAAAAAGTGTTTCCAGGATCTTGTATTTACTTTATATTTCCAGGTTTCCCACTGTTCGAAGTGTCTATGACTATATAGGTATACTTGTTATCAACCACTGATAACAAATGGGCGTTCAGCTACCCCTCCCGCAGATCTGCAACCCAATACAATGTGGGTTTGTTGAGAGCTTATTAACCATCGATTGTTGCGGTCACGGAAACTGAGGAGACAGAGGGGTTGGCCATGGATGTATCTAGAATACGAAAGAAGAGCGCCTAACATCAGTATACACCCTCCGGTTATTTAACACAGCCATGGAAAATCACAATTTCTCAAAGCTAAATCATGCATAAATGGATCATTTTCCATAGCTATGTTAGACAGCAACGGGCAATCAAAACAAATTAAACAAATGATGTCATGCCACCAAACATACAAGTTTGGTCATCCACCTTGTAAAAGTGCTTTCTTACAGGCAATGGTTTTCCAACACATCGAAGTGATCTTCCCTATGATCATGGGGTCGTCCCTTCCACTGCGGTGAGATCCTCAGAGATCCAACATGGATGAAACCTGAAAGAAAGATGTTGGAATATCAAAAAACGTGAAAACTGAGAAATGTGGTTCCAAGCCAACTGAAACATATCTATTACTGGGGATCATCATCATGATCATGATCATCATCATCATCATCATCATCATGATCATCATTATCATGATCACAAATATGGTTGACAATTGAACATATGTGAAACCACCACCTAGATTACAATTGGAGGATTCGAGTTGAACACACAGCACTTGGGGCTCGGAATCGACTAGCCCTGCATATGATGGAATTTTCGGAATGGCTTAGCGGCTTAGCCTCGTCATCAAACATGGCAAACTTGGACATCCCCAAACAAAACATGGAGGCCTTAATTCAATGGGAATTTCAGGATCCTAAAATGGAGGTACTGTACCATATTTTTGGCCATATGTTGTGGTGATATTCCCTTACATAGGCCTTATATAGGCCTTATATATGGTAGGTACCTCCAATAAATCGGATCCTGGAATGGCCATTGATTCATGGGAAACTCATCAAACTCAATGTCTATGACTTGGGAACTTTCCATCGCCATGTTTGATTACCTGAGGGTGATGGGCGATAAATTTCAATCTGGCAATAAACGATACTCAGCACGGGACGAGTTTTAACCTATGCGCCCCAAAAATCAACCATTGATCCAAAAAAAACACGGTTTACCCAGAGAATTCCCAAACTTCTCCTGACCCAGCGGCTAGATCGTCGATCTCGGTATACCTCGGTCGTTCGGAATCCCTGTTGCTGAGGTTTACGCTATACCGCGGAGGTTTATGGGTCACTTCATTCCCAAGAAACCAGGCAGATGGATTCTTCCGTTAAATAATCTTTCGCCATCACTGGCTGTACTTAGATCTTCACATATCTTCATATTTCCGATGCTTAAAAGGTCAAAACACCATATTTGATGCTTAATTTCTCATCATATACCCTCTGGTAAACTAAGATAGTTGTGGAACATCGCCATTTATGACAGGTAGATCAACTATAAATAGGCAATGTTCAATAGCCATGTGAATTTCTCATCATATAACCAATATTAACCCATATGTCTATTCGAATATGTGGTTTCTTTACACTTTTCTAGACAATTTATGAATTGTTGATTCATTAAAAATATGTACCGGTCATTAAAAATGCCACCGTTGATTGGTTGATGGGAGATTGAACTCTCAAATGGTGCTTTGACTTTTTAAGAGTTATTGATTCTCGTGATATCTCTACAATGTGAGGCCCCCCAGTGATGTGAACGTTGGTTAACAAAAGCCCCAGTAACTATAGTTATAAGTACCATAAACCAGTTCGTGAAATTGGAGTTATTTGAACCAACTTAGCTATCGACCGGGGGCCTCACATTGTAAAGTATCTCCATGCTTTGTTGCTTTAGTTTTCTGACCATCTTCCCGTGGTGAAATCCATGCAGAAATCCATCAAAACTACCGCATGAAGGTGACCTTTACAAAACAGATAGGGCTTCATAATCCTTGTGGTTCTTGCTAGCTAATAATTCTTTAATGATCATACTAAACATTGTGAATATATCTGTAGTAGTATACCAGTATATAAATCCTACAGATATATGGGCTGTCTAGTTATATATAAATGTGCTTGTTGGTAGGATTTCTTCACCCGTTTCAAAAGGATTTTCTATTTTGGTCATTTTTGGATAGATTTCGCTAATCCCAGAGATCCGGAGGTCACCAGTAGGGTCCCTAAAAATCCACTGCTTTTTCGTCGTCACCGAGAGGCTCTAAGACTCGCATGTATTCTTCTGGATCACGACCTACCCGAATATTCACGGCAAGGCAAAGTCCCACGTGTTGGAAAAAGCCGTAAAATCCAAGGGATGGAAAAAAGCATCTGTTGGAAAGATCAAAAGAAACATATCTTCAAAAAGTGGGACAATTCTTGGAGAAATTGAAAAAAGTAGCCCACTCTATTCACAAGTCCATTTTCCCATGATGCATGAGGAGTTCAGATCTTCGGGTTTAGACATCAGTCATGCCAACATCACAAACAACATGGGGAATGAAGCTGCACAGAACAGTTCATTATTCCAGGTGGACCAAACAGCAACACCTCACGCCTCGATAATCTTAGATGCATTGAACAACGCATGAATTGCCAGTCACTAGTCTATTTCTCCATCAACCCGGCCTGGTAATTTAACAGTTTGCTATTGAAAATGGCTATAGAAATAGTTGATTTACATATTAAAACATTGGTGATTTTCCAGTTCGCTATGTAAACGTTTACCAGAGGGTAAGGCAAGTCACAATAATCTATTGACCTATTCATGACTTGCCCAGACCTAGTCCAATCAGTTATTGGTCGAATTCAAACTCTGCACATCCAGTTGGACCAGTTGTAGATACTTTGCACACAAAATCACCAGTTTTTTCTGGTGAGTAAACATGTCCATCCAATGGCCAACTATTAGTTACCATCCGGTAATCAAGAAGAGCAATAGAAAATTCCCGATTCATAGACATTTACAGATAATTTTCCCATTAAGGCCTTTTTTTTGGGGGGGATTTCCAAGTTTTCCATGTTTGATGACTAAGTGGAAGTTTTAGTGGGAATCTCATTTATACATGGGGGATGTTTCACCAACCCCAGCCACTTCCGACTTCCTACCGCTGAGCTCCCTGACTGCGCTTCAGGTGTTGCTTCAGCGCAATCGGAAAGGCAATCCTCAGCGGCCCCAGGGCTGCAGCGAGGAGGATTTCAGAGACCAAAATGGGGATCCAGGATGCATTTCATGAGGATATCATGGGATTCCATCTGGTATATACCATCTGGTTATTCAACATATGGAAAATCCCATTGATAAATATGGAGGTTTTAATAAATTCCACGACTATGATTTTGAGAAATTCCACGACTTACCCTCTGGTAACCGTTTACAAAAAACGATGGAAAGATCCAGCATTTTGTAGCTGGGAAAACTCACTATTTCGACTGGGCCATTTTCAATAGCAAACTGTTAAATTACCAGAGGGTAACATGATTTAACAAACTAAAGGTGGGAGTTAGAAAGGATTTTTTCACCAAGCAGAGGGATTTCATGGGATATGACTGGGAATATCACCACAATTCGAATTTAAGCAAAGCACATTTGGATCTACCTCCAGCCATTTCATGGGGATATCATGGACTAATATAGGGAACAAGATCTGTTATTTAAGGGTTCGTCTGTTTCAGCGCGGGGTAGATCAACGGTATACCCTGCAAACAGCCATTGCTCCGTATGCCAGGGGTTCCTGAAAAAAAACACATCGTCCAATCCAGTTCTGGGAATATGCCCATGTATTTTTGATTATCTATGATAATTGTAATTATATGTAATTATACTATACATACTGTAGGTATATATGTATATATATACACATAAAATACATGCATATAAACATACATAATTACATGTATATAAAATGTATACAGTATACAATTCTATTCATACATTAACGGCCCATTAACTAAGACACACCTTTCTTTGTGGGAGCTCCAAAAACATCCTTTTAAACGCCAAGAAACAAATGCCTCACAATGCAGGAGTAGATTTCCTTAGTGGAGGGGGGTCAAAGTTTCACGGCCCTGACAACCATTTGGACCCTTTACTTCGGTCAAGCAGAAACCCATGTGCAGTAACAATTTGTGCAATGTGAGGCCCCCCGTTGTGATGTGAACGTTGGTTAACAAAAGCCCCAGGAATACTAGTTCGTTATAAGTACCATAAACCATAGTTATTGGAGTTATAAACCAACTTAGCTATCGAACGGGGGCCTCACATTGTTGTTTTGATTTGTCTTTCAAAGAATTTGAAGGAACCCTGTTTCAGGTGAGACAGTGAACCTTGTGTTCGTATCTCGGTCTTTGAGATCAGAAAATGTTGTTGTTTCATGTTGTTTCTTCTTTCCCAATCCCTCCCCATGATAGAATACTGTGGTAACCTCCAAAATAAACAATCCCACTAGACAAACATGACTGGGGGTCATTTTATCTCATCCCTAATAAAGTTTTTTTAAGTTTCATAAACCTTAAACTCGGGGCTGGTTTAATTATTCTATTTTCCCATAATTATCATTTTTCCCACTATTGTTTTACATCAACCCATATTATCCTTTTAATCAATGGGAGATCTCCAGGATCCTAAAATGGAGGTACGTTCGTACCATATTTTTGGCCATATTTTGGGGGGGTACCCCCTTACATAGGCCTTATATAGGCCTTATATATGGTAGGTACCTCCATTTTAGGATCCTGAAATTCCCATTGATTTAAACCACTACTCTATGGCAGTTTCCTGACTTGATGCTACCCCCAATCATCCAAGGCATTAGATCACTTGAAAATCCCTTTCCCCTAAACGAAACCATGCTTTAGTACAGGATGGGGCCCCCAAGATAGCGTTCAGTTGGTTTAGAAGTGGCTGAATTCTACGGTTTATGGTAGATATAACGAACTAGTTAATGGGGATTATAAGGGTTTATAAACCAACTAACATCACTGTGGGGCCCCATCCTGTAGTGATTTCCACATAATTGGGACCATGGAATGGGGCTGTGTTTAATATGAATGGGGGATGGGATTAGTATGGATTAGTATAGTTCTGGGTGTTTCAATACATCTATAGATTCTAGATATTTCTAGATTCAATGTTGGATAACTTCCCTTTTTTCATCCCCATCAGCTGTTGTAAACAAAATCTCAAGCTGTTGGTTGCTGATGGTGACTGATGCGAAAATAGCTACAGATCATCCCGTTACTGCCATGGTTAAGCTGGCCATGGCCCTAATCGAGTCATAGAGGTTTACCGTTTTTAATAACTGTTAGTCATTTAATAGTGATTTAATGGGATTTAATAGTCATAACCGTTATTTTTAATAGCATATTTTCCATGGCAAACTGTGAATGTCATAACTAGTTCGTAAATATCCATCTAGTAAATATGTTCCATAACAAATGGCGAACTAGTAATCTCTTAGTTTCCCATATTTTCCATGGCAAACTGTGAATGTCATAACTAGATGGATGTAAAAACTAAACCAATTTAAAATCTCTTTGTTGATGATATCATCCCCATATGACCATGGAACCATGGGGCTACCCCTAGTTGTCATCCATGTATTTTCGATGGGATTTTCCATGAAATAAACCATCCATGTGTTGGAAATTCCCTATGACTATGGACACCCCCATATCTTTCTTTACTGATGGTGACTGATGGTGCCTTGGAATAGGAGCCATGATTTGGTCTCGATCTCAATGGATATTACCCTCTGGTTATGACCAACACTTTGCCATGGAAAATCACCATGCTATTAATAGATAAACCATCTATTTCTATGGGCCACCTATACCATGGCTATGTTAAATAACCAGAGGGTAACAATTTGTTGGTTGATGTTTTCTGAATTGCATGTTGCAGCAAGGCTTCGACCCTTTTCCATGTCATTGGAGAATATCTACCACAAATCGCAGCAAGTTGAGGGCACAAATCGCTATCTATCTTTGTGGGATTGCATAGAGACCCATTTTCAGAATAAAACTCACTGTTCACCAGCCAGTATCTTACAAATAACAATATACCCTCTAGTAAACAGCCACATAACTATGGAAAATCGCCATGCTATTCATGGGTAAATCAACTATTTCTATGGCCATGTTCAATAGCAAACTGTTAGTTTACCAGAGGGTATCCCAATCAAATCCCATTAAATCGCCATTAACATCCATTAAATCACCATTTCCAATGCTTTTTTCCATGACAGGATCCGACCCTCCCAGTTGGCTACTCCGGATGACCATGATGACCATTGTAAAAAATGCACCATTTTTTCTTCATACCCGGCCTGGTAAACCTACAAAAAGCGATTGAACATGGAATTTAATGGTGATTTAATGGATGTTAATGGCGATTTGATGGATTTTAATGGTGATTTAATGGGATTTGATTGGGATACCCTCTGGTAAACTAACAGTTTGCTATTGGAAATGGCCATAGAAATAGTTGATTTACCCATTAAAAATGATGATGTTGGGGTTACTATTCCCAATATATGGAAAGTCATAAAGGCCATGTTCCAAACCAACAACCAGTTTCTGACATCAATTCAATGGGAGATCTCCAGGATCCTAAAATGGAGCTACGTTCGTACCATATAAGGCCATATTTTCTGGGGATATTCCCTTACATAGGCCTTTTTTGGTAGGTACCTCCAATTTAGGATCCTGAAATGGCCATTGACCAAGTGAGCTGTCAGGTCTCAAGACACCCCTGTTGGCTGAATTTTTTCAGGGATTATCCTCTGGTAAACCAAGCTAGCCATGGAAAATCACCATTTTTAATATGTAAATCAACTATTTCTATAGCCATTTTCAATAGCTATGTTAAATTACCAGAGGGTAAAGCATCATATCAATATTTGGGGATTAAGATTGATTAATGGGGTTCTGAACACTGCCCCAAATCCATTTTTTTGTTTTCACCTCTTCCATTCCATCAGAGTGACCCAATCATCTCTAGACAAATGTGCAGCATACCTGACACGAGTCCCCCGAACCCCTGGTTCGACCAGCAATGAGAGCGTCAGCGTTAGCACTGGATGATAGCCATGTTCTGGTTGGTGGTTTTAACCATCTTGAAAAATATGAAAGTCAATGGGAAGGATTATCCCATATATTATGGAAAATAAAATTCATGTTCCAAACCACCAACCAGTGTTTAAGTCGTGGGTAACCCCCCGTTGGGGGATGTTAGGGATACCCTCTGGTAAACAAACATAGCGATTGAAAATGGTCATTTATAGTTGATCTACCCATTAAAAATGGTGATTCTCCATAGTTATGTTAGTTTACCAGAGGGTAGTGGTAAAATGTGCTAAACCTGTTTAGAACTGGTTGAGGGGTCCCTGTTTTGACAGGTTCAATGTTTTCAAGATGCTTTTAAGATCTTTTAAGTGGTCCTCTTTCCACAGGTTGAATATTTTCAGCATGCCTTGAAGTCCACCCAAACGACACCAGAAACATGCATAGTTTTTGATAGCCCTCAGTAATCAAACCTTGCAAACAACAATCCCAACGACCCTGCAGACACAGGAGCCATAGACAATATCCCTATCTCATTCCACTATACTGGTTGCAGTGTTAAAAAGTCTGATAATGGTTTTAACAAATCACGACAGTACAATCCCCTACAATAACCAATGATAACAGGGGCATAACTTTCATGGCTCATACCGTTTACAGCTGTGTAGCATATGTTCCGCTCAAAATCACAACCATAACAAGGCTTGTCCATAGTTTGATGCATTTGCAACTGGGGGAACTATATAACCCCACCAGCACTAACCGGCTTATCTTCTTGTGTTTTTTTGGTGTGAAAAACGAAGTGTAAAAATGAGCTGGTTGGTGCATGGGGGTGTCCATGGGTGTCCGATTTATATGCTCAAATCTTACTTGAAAAGTTCGGCCATGAGGGATGATTCCCCAAATAGCCATCCTTCCAGTGACGAGGGTGAGGTCATTCTGCTTCAGAATTTAGAGATTATGAGACGGTCCAAACTAAAACATGTGTAGATATCACTTGAAATGTTCCATTAACAATATATACCCTCCGGTAAACTAACATAGCTATTGAAAATGGCCATTTATAGTTGATTTTCCCATTGAAAATGGTGATTTTCCATAGCTATGTTAGTTTACCAGAGGGTAACAATATTGCATCACCGTAAAACGATGATACACACCGACCATCCCTACGTTTGATTGTGTCTGAGTCACTGCTGTGCGATCCTTTTGCTGCTCTCTGGCTCACCCCATATATACCCTCTGGTGATGTGACATAGCCATGGACCTCCCCTTTGAAGTAAAGCATGGTTTTGGGTAAATTATAATGATTCACCAGCCTGAATCTTGCGGCCACTCCTGGGGATGATTCCCGTATCCTAACTATGATTTCCAGGGTTCGGGAGAATAGTGAGGTCGTTATAATTTACCCAGATGGTTTCAATAACGAGATGATTTATCCATTCAACATACCCATGGCGACACCCATGGAGAACCGAACCTCAGCATGCTCTGGAGAACCTTTTGCAGGTCGGCTAAAGCTTTTCCACAACTCCAGTGACGCTCATATGCCTGGACAACGCTTGAAAAGGTCACGCATGGACCCATGGACCATGAGGATTTTTTTTGGCACACCACCAGGGAGAAAGTTGGGTTGAAACCAAGCCGGATATCCGGATAATGAAGGAAGGGAGCCCCAAATGATGTTGTTAAACCACTGTTCAACCAGCCAAAACTTGAGATTTTAAGGGAATAACATGGGATGTTTTTCTAATCAGCAATGTGATATTGGCTTTCGCAACTAGCAATTGTAAATGGATCAGTAATCAAAAATTGTCCAAATTTGGGGGTTCAATCATCCTGGGTGTGTCTGAAAATTGGGTTTTTGTAACCCTAAAACCCATGGTTTACCATCATATCACTTTCTTAATGAACATGGCAATAACATGGCGGTATGCTCCCCATTTTCATACATGCCCATGTGCAAAAAAAATCAGAAAACCAGGACCCACATAACCAACAGATTCATCCCTCAAATATCATCTCCACGCGGGATTCGTCAAAGGGGTTAACATTCCCATTCTGTTTGCTTAAAACTTGTTCGTTCAAGTTGTTCATACGACACTCAAAGTACCTGGCAAAATGAATCAAAGTTGACCAAAATGTTTGCTCCACATTCAGCCCAAAACCTGGAATTTTAATCTGTTGGTATTCACTAACTGGTTGGTGGTTTAAATCATCTTAAAAAAAATAGTCAATGGGAAGGACTATCCCATATATTATGAAAAATAAAAAATGTTTGAAACCACCAACCAGCTAAAGAGTTGTTTGATTTTCCAAGTTTCGGGGGTGCAGTTGTTAATCATGGTCCTTTTTGACGAAATTCATTGTCTACTCGCAGACCCCGCCAGGAATGTCTTTGGTTTATAAACCCCATTAACTCGATCGATGTATCTACCCATAAACCCAACCGTTAGCCTAGCAACAAAAACTGAGCAATCTAGGGGGCAGCGCCTTGTTGGATATGTTATATCCCTATTCTATCCCTATTTTTGTTGGTTATATCTCCATTGACAACCAACAACAATAGGAATATATATATATATATATGAATGTAGTATCCGTATTATAACCCATTTTTTTACATCATATCATATCCATATGATATATTCCCATACAGGATATCCCCATTGACAACCATGGGGCCCCAATGGGTTTTTGGCCGAGCACCTGGTTGGTGCGAAAGGCCAACAGCAGGCCCAGCACTCCTGCGATCATCCAAGTTTGGGGTTAGCTGGGTAGCTTCATTCCCTTTAGATATTCCTTTTAGATATATCAAATTTCATATCCCTATCCGAATCCTATATATATATTTATATATCTGGTTTATTGATCTGCAAAAACTTCACTGTTGTTGTGGATAAATATGGATAGATGGAGTGCGTACCCTCTGGTAAACTAACATAAGTATGGAAAATCACAATTTTCAATGGGTAAATCCACTATAAATGGCCATTTTCAATAGCTATGTTGAATTACCAGAGGGTACCTATCTAATCCCAAGTCAGGTTTTCCAGCAAAGTCTACCGCTGCAATCCCACCCATGCGACGTGATGTTGCGCGATGTCAAGCGGCAGGTTATGCGACCGTTGCCGAAAGTGACCGCAGTTGATCGCAAGGTTAACCATTCCCCCATGAATTGACAGCAGGTACTCATGGATATAGGAACATTATCTAGCCCCATCAAGATTTATCTGAAAGAACACACACGGTAATTCATCATCCTGCAAACTTTGGCAAGTGGGGATACTTACCCCGCTATACAAACCATCATTCCAGTGATGTCGCAGTGAGGTCGCAATATATTTCATCCTTGTAATTAGTTCTACGCAATCTACCCATTTTCATTCTCCAAAAACACGTGTTCCTGACATCTCCACACCTTGTTTCATGTCGTTGCCGAACTGAAACATTCCCATGTCATTTGTCCTGCACCTTCCCTCAGTGGAATCGCCTCGAGATGCTTCGGCTTGCTACATATCCCTCATTTATGGCAAACGATTAAGTTGAATTCAAGATAATTCAAGTAGATCTCCAAGTTTAAGCCCAATGTTGTCCTACAGATTTTGAATACCTGTATCTTGTTGCTTAACAAGCATTCTCATCTCACTTTTTCCGAGGGATCCTCGCAGCATCATGCCTCACATCCATCTTATATAGCCAAGAAGTCCATCTCTGGGTATTGCCTTCCTATGTACATGTGCACCCAACAAACCAACATACCAATAAACCAGTGACCAAAAACTTCCACCCAATATTTTGATAGTTACACTGACCCAATATTTTTGGTTCCTTGAGCGCCCCGGTCTTCTTTGAAGCCCCCATCCACTCTTACCCACCCAGCGCTCCGACCAAGAGCGGATGAATAATGGAGCTGTTGGTCCACCTGAAACCTGTGACCTGCAGCGCTGCAGCGGTGCGTCGGTGCGTGGACCTGGATGGTGCCCTGATATGGGAATGGATGGGTTGCTGGGGGTTGCTGGGATGATGACATTACTAGTGATGACTGGGATAATTCCCGAAAATTCCCTGCGTAAAACGCACCAGTTTTTGTAATAATCGGTTCTGACACATCCCCATATGTCTATGTCTATGTTGCAATGTGTCCTCAATGGCATGTGTCTGTATGTCTACATGTCTTTGTTTAAATGTGAATATGTATATGTGCATGTATGTATGAACGGATGGATACCTGCATGCATGTATGCAGGTAGGTGTATATGTAAGTATATGTACATATCTATAGCTACATATATATATATACACATAGTAAGGCCTTGATGTCAGTTTACGCCTAGTGATAGATGATCTTACTTTAGTTATGAGGAGCTGATTACCACACAAAAGAACTCGTGTGGAAAAGGGGGGTTCTTCCCCTTAAATGTCAAGGATGCAAACCAGGTTTTGCGTGGGTCAGCCCTGAATTCAGGTCAAAAGGGATAATTTATGAAAAGCGTCGCCCATTGACAAACTGGCTAAATTCAAGATGCTCAATGAAACCAGCTAGTGGTTTATCAATCCGGTTAATGCTTTCGATTCTAATCCGCATTGTTTGGTAATGATCAATGCCATTGTAGAGGACCCGCTGTAGAGGTGCCTCCTCTGCCACCAAGCAGGCCCAGACGAACAAGAGGTAGCCCACCAACTTCTGAAACATTGGTTCATGAACGAGGCACAGATGGTGCAAGTTCTTGAGCCATACCAGAGCAACAAAAAGTACTGGCTATCCATGGCTAGAACCACTGAAGTTAGCCACCTCCATACGCAAAGCGTCTCCATCTTTGTTGGCATGATGGGCAAGGGCGTGAAAGAGGCAGTTGGATCTCCTTCATGCGGTTGTAGAGCGGGGTATTCTTTAAGATCTTAGATCCAAGCGGAGTAGGGTAGCCCTCCTGGGGCAAATCACAAAATCACAAGATCACAAGACGGCCACAGCTGAAGTCGCTCCTTTATGGCCAGCTTGAATGTCAGATTCCATGGCAGCCGTGGGGCCCTCAAAGGGAAATCCAAGAGGTGATGACGCTTTGAGACCCGTCTGGCCGCCGGGCCTACGTTTTGAGCTCCGGAATGAGCTATTGGGTGTGGATCTTACCATGGTCAATCCGCGATACCACATTTATTTTGTAGCCTTACTAGTAAATATTGCCACTTTGACTCAGTAGCTTCAATATAGCTAGTAACAATAATCAGTAATATAATATAGTTTTATAATAGTGGCAATATTTAAATATGTATGCCACTAGTTGCATTTAACTATTCAACTCGCCAGTTGGTTCACCCCGTCATGCCATATCCCACAACTATTGGGGGCGCTAAACCCCACAAATCTGCTACTTAATCCCTGGCTATGCAGAGGTTCCCCCAACGTTCTTGGCAAGTCGGCCAGTGATGTGATATTGGTCCCAATCTTTACGGGAACACATGATGGGTACTACCGGTAAAATCATTTACCGCCTACATCTGGCTACAAGAAGACAAGGCATATCTTGTCTCTTGACTCCGCCATAACTTAGACTTTTGACTCGGTGATCTGCCAGTTCTTTGCAGTACGTGCGAGTCCATTTCGATGAACCTACTACTAGTCGCTAGAAATGATGACTGATTGGTGGTTGAGCCCTACCCCTCTGAAACATGATGGAGTTCGTCAGTTGGGATGATGACATTCCATTCCCTTTTCTGAATGGAAAATCATAATCCAGCCATGTTCCAAACCATCAACCAGGAATGAAGACGTCAGCTTTCTGGATCCAGATCTTGGACTGAATCAACCATCCTGGAAAGGAGTCTTCCAACCTCATGAGAGGGTCGATTTGTGGAATGGTAAACCCATTAAAGATCTCAATTTCCAGAGTAAAATGTCATTAAATCCCAATTTTCAGGAGTAACATGTCATTAAATCTCAATTTTCAGCAGTAAAATCCTGTTGAATCCTTATTTTCATGAGTCAAATTCCATTGAAGCCAACTTTTTTGTTGGTTAAATCCTGCCAAGTGCCACTAATCCTGTAAGATCGCATTAAATTCAACCGGCCAAGAAACCAAATGCACGCAAACCACGAAGATGGACCAAAGCCTCAAGTTGCGAAAAGATGAGGAGACGTCTGGATTAAAACATGTTAAAACATATGAAAACAGTCAACATTGGGGAACGTCAATCTCCAACTTTGAAGGCCAAATATCAGATTCGTTGGTATGTAGTGTGTGTATATATATATATACCCTATGGTTATTTAACATAGCTATGGAAAATGGTCCATTTATAGATGATAAACATGATGATTTACCGAATAGAAACGGTGATTTCCCAGTTCGCTACGTTAAATAGCCAGAGGGTTTTTTCTGATATTCTCCAAGGTTGAACATCCTTTCCCCAATAGCTTGCCATTGGTGGTGGTGCAGTTGGTAGTTTAAAGGGGCAAAATCCCAAGTTTTGAAAGTTATCATATACCCATGAATTGATCATAGCCTTTGTCATACTTTATCCATAGACCATAAATGGTTATTTATATTTATTTATAAGGTTTATATATATAAGTATTTATATATATACCCATTTATAACCCCAACTGCACAACCCCCAGACACCCAGGTGTCAATACGGTGCAAGGATGGGGGATTTAACTGACAGAGCAAGGCCAAGATGGAACAGATTAGGAAAGATAGAGGAAAGAACCAGCTGCTAGTCCATTCATCCATTCAACAATCTTACCCTCTGGTAAACTGTTACATAACTATGGAAAATCACCATTTTTCATGGGAAAATCCACTATAAATGGTGATTTTCCATAGTTATGTTAAATTACCAGAGGGTATCTGGTTGGTGGTTTCGATGGCATCCTGGTGGTCCTTCGGATTCCTGATGTCCATCCTCCGCACCGCCAGCACGCGGGAGGACCCGCTGGAAATGATCTTGAAGGTCGTCATGATCGAATTGAACGAGAGACAGAAAGCCTTTTCCTTCTAGGAGAAGTCAAAGAAGATGTTCTGTAAGTCTCAACGTTGTGTCTCGTCTTGTTCCAAACCACCAACCAGTTATACATATGCATGTTTCAATGCTCGTATGGACATGTCCAGCTTAAATACCTATTGGACATTAGTTCTGACGTAACGTGGCCACCCTTAAATACCTTGCACAGAAATAATTTCCAAGCTGGTGAACGTAGATAATCCTATTGATACCAAAAGACTAAAGGACTAGTTTCTACCCATCTATCATTGGATTGGCTTAAGGGAAAATCTACAGGAAACCATGGTTTTTCCAATGAAATAATTATGGTGAAGTCCGGTTTCAAATTTCCCTTAAACCAATCCAATGAATCTAAGATTGACCAATATCTTACCCTCTGGTAAACTAACATAGCTATTGAAAATCACCATTTTAATAGGTAAAACATCTATAAATGGTCCATGGCTTCCATAGCTATGTTAAATTACCAGAGGGTAAGATACCCTCTGGTAATTTAACATAGCTATGGAAAGATCCACCGTTGTTCATGGGAAAATCCACTATTTCTATGGTCATTTTCAATAGCGATTCGTTAAATTACCAGAGGGTATCATGCATTTGACAAATTCACTTGTGCGGTTTCTTGGCATGAGCTGATCCAGTGATCCCGTGTCGTCGTCACCTTTTCGGATCTGGACCTTCTGGGCCTCAACGAATGGGCCTTTAGCAAGGACCCCAACTGTTTGAAAGAGCTATTATCATGAGTTTTTCATCAAAACAACATCTCTCTTTTCAAGATCATGATATTCAAGATCATCATCAAACCATCCATTTAACTCTATAGATAGGATTTTCCCTTATAAACCATCCAGCGATAAAGGGGTACAGTACCCCCATTTATGGACATCACCATATAATGATGGTAGATTTCCTTCATCTTTTTCCTGGTTGGTGGTTTCAACCCCTCTGAAAAATATAAAAGTCAGTTGGGGTTTCTATTCCCAATATATGGAAAAATAAAAGCAATGTTCCAAACCACCAACCAGTTTCTGACATCAATTCAATGGGAATTCCAGGATCCTAAAATGGAGGTACTGTACCATATAAGGCCATATTTTGTGGGGATATTCCCTTACATAGCCCTTACATAGACCTTATATATGGTAGGCACCTCCAATGAATCGGTTCCTGAAATGGCCATTGATCAATCCCTTTTCCGAAAAAGCTTTGTCTGTAGTTCCTTCATGGCTGGAGATCGCCGAAGAAAAAATCCGCAGTTCATATTTTTCAACCCACGGCACGACCACAACGTTTTGCTGGCGGTTTCCATATTATGGGTATACCCCATTTATATCCATTTATGGATGGTTTATTTCAAAGAAAATACCTAGACATGGATGATTTGGGGGTAGCCCCATTTCAGGAAACCATAAAACATTTATGGGTGTCTGAAATTGGGGTAACCAAAAAGCAATTTTTTCATAGGAAATTTCATAGGAGTAATAATGGTAAACATTGATCAACCGTCAGCTTTTGGATGGTTTTTGGGGAGGGATCCCTCTGGTAAACTAACATTTTGCTATAGAAAATCACCTAATTTTTCATAGGAAAACTCACTATTTCTATGGTGATTTTCCATAGCTTTTTGTAGGTTTACCAGAGGATAAATCCCAATCAAATCCCATGAAATCACCATGAATCCATTAAAGTCACCATTAAAAACCCATTAAATCACCCTTAAAATCCGTTAAAATCACCATTAAAAGCCCATGAAACCTCCATCCAGACGCCATTGGTCTCCGAAGATGGTCACTATGATTCACCACCAACAGCGAGTTGATTTGTGGCGAGTTGATTTAGATCTTTGTGACCCGGATCGGATCAGGTTAAATAACCAGAGGGTAACGATATGTTTTATGATGTTTTATGGTAGATATAACGAAGCAGTTCATAGTATTCATGGAGATACTGAGATACCATCATGATTTATAAACCAAGGTTCACATCACATTGCCAATCTTAGATACCCTGCAAAAAATGGACCAGATTCTTTGCTGGTGAACGTAGATATTCCCATACCAAAAGACTAAAGGATTAGTTTCTACCCATGTAAGATTGACCTAGTTGATATAGTCATATCTGGTTGGTGGTTGAGCTTAACCATCTTGAAAAATGATGGACTTCGTCAGTTGGGATGGTGACATTCCCAACTGAATGGAAAAATAAATTTCATGTTCCAAACCACCAATCAGTAGTCATATTGCTTTACTATCCAAATTCGATCTTGGACAGGATTTGGTATTGGTACATAATTCTCGGGTGACCATGAAATATTGGGTCCCAGGCTTGTTGCATCTTGCGATCCAAGAGGGGTAAAGCAACAAACACTAAGAAACACTGCTCTGTTTCGTGGTTTCCAGGTATGATAGAAAATAACAAGTGGTTGACACTAGTTGGAAGATGTTGGAAACACACACCTGATATCATGATATCTTTATGCTACATCAAGTTGGAATCCCGTGGTGGTCCATCTTTGTTGATGCATATCCCCTACCCTCTACCGGGTCTTGACAGACACAGCTACAGGTTGGTCACCGAGGAACCCCTGAGCCAACAACAAGGGAAAGACACCTCGGCTGGATGATTTGGGGGTAGGCCCAATTTAGGAAACCTCCAAATGAATGGTGTTGAAAGGCAGATTGAAATCCCTTTTGCTGGTTTGTTTCTGGGAATTTCATCATCCATAGTCCATAGTGTCATTTATCCTCCTGTAAACGCGAGTAGACGCCCCCAACAAATCACACTACCATTGAATTTTCAACCCTGCTCAAATGGAAGGCAGAAAAAAAACACAAACAAGAGAGCTAAGCAGGTACAATGTGGTGCCCCCTAGATAGCGTCCAGTTGCCTTATAAGTGGCTTAACTATGGTTTATAGTAGATATAACTACAGTTAATGGGGTTTATAAACCAACAAACATCACTGGGGGGCACCACTTTGTATGAATATGTTCCCATTGAAATGATCATTTAGTTCGGGCATTCCCCAGCCATCTGTGAAAAAATCGGAGGGACAGATACTTCCGAAGATGAGCCTTGCGGATCAATGTGGTGGTTTCTATCCTTACAAGGTGGTGCCCCATAGTTAGCTAAGTTGGTTCAAAAAACTCCAATTTCACTATGGTTTATGGCAGATATAACTATAGTTAATGGGGTTTATAAACCAACTTACAACTTATACCCGAATTTTGTTGGTTGAACCCCCGATTTTCCACATTTGAAGCTAAGAAATGACAACTTTCTACTCCCAATGACTACTGGTTGGTTGAGAAGACACTCGTGAATTAGTGATTATCCCATATGATGCCAATCCTCAATAAATTAAGTAGAGTATTAACCACTTGCAACAATCAATCAACAATGCTGCTTTAATGGCTCATAAAACCAATTTTTTCCCAATGCTAAACATCCAATTCCCTATTTGTGCTAGCGAATCTCCCTATTTTCCATGTCAAATATCAATCCCCATTTTTGCTGGTGAAATCTCCGTTTTTTCTGGGTGAAATCTTGGTGAAAGTCTTAGCTGGTGAACGTAGATCATCCCATTGATACGAAAAAAAAGACTCAAGGATGAGTTTCTACAGTTTTCCCCATAGTTAACTCAATTTTGACTTGTAACTATTGTAACTAGGTGAAAACTAAGGTAACTTATAGCTTTTTATAGGTTTTTTTTGACAGTCAGATGGCTTTAGCCAACTCCCCGGGGGATCCCCTGAGTGCCAAGTCGCGGATGGTCACCCGAAACTCGTCCGGCTCCGCTTTGGGCTGGACTCGACGCCACTGCTCCTGCGAAACTGGGTGATTTAAGCATCGGACACATCTGGAGTTAGAAGGTGTTGTATGACTGTTTTTTGGGGATTCCTTTAAAAGCGGATGGCATCTGTTTGTGCGGCCGTTGGCTGGTGAACCAGCAAGCACTGCATAGGATAGGAGTTATTTTTTTAGATCAACGAGATAAAAATAGATAAACCATCAGTGTTTTCTTTTTTTTCTTTATTCAACGACATGATATTTCTGTGTCGGAAACATGATGTTTTTCACCGTCGCTGCCACCATGGAACCACCATGGAGCCACTCAGCCGAAACAGAGGATTGATGACATGGACATGCAGTCATCAAATGATCATAGATATGTATACAGCCACAATTATGTATCAAATGTACATATATACATATAATGGTATATATACATATGATCATGGACCCTCTGGTAAACGTTGACAAAAAACTATGGAACATCACCATGCTACTAATGGGTAAAATAGCTATGTTAGTTTACCAGAGGGTAGTCTTCCATGCCACAATTCACCATTTCATAAAAGCGGCCACAGGCCCCACAGACTGACTGGCCAACACATTTTGGGAATTTGGATAATGCTCAATAATTTACCAAATTCCCAAAATTTTGGATAATTTACCTGTTAAAGTGGTTTGTTCAAACCCCCTCTATTAATCAACCAACCAATGGGAATTTGGGACATCTATGAACTGCCAGCATCTTCTCATGGTTGGAAAACGTCGGATGGTTTCACCATAAGCCACCCAAGGTATGCACAGTACCTTGCTAGTGCAATGTGGGTAAAACAAGAAAATAAACCATCCCCCAAATCACCACTTAAATGGGTGGTATAAACCATTCCCAAATGGGTGGTTTATGATTGTTTTACCAACATTTTACTATTTTTAACTCTGCTCGTGTCAGCACAAATGATGTCCCACAGACTTCCGCTACACGCTTGAGGCAGCAAGTTATGATCTCACACGACCACCAGGAGTTTGCGATAAATAATATAAATGTCGGAACCTCCCAGTTTTTGATTCAAAATTATCCCTGAATTTGCAAGTCTCAAAACATATCCCAGTCATGAGTCATAAAAAATCCCCATCTCCCATCTCATTGAACTGGATCAGTTTAGAATCCCCAATAAGCCAGGTGGTATCACCTAGTTCTTGACCCGTTAATCATCAATTAACCATAGTCAATCTAACTAGGTCATGATTAACAAAGATAGTTAACCATAGTTCATTGATTAACCACAAATAGTGGTGATCACTTAGTTAATTGATGATCATCAACTATATCCATGGTCAATCTTGAATAGTCCACAACAAGTCAATCCTTCACTGGTCTGCTGGTTATTTTCCATCTATGTTGCAAGCAATAGACAAGGATTTACGTACACATTTGCATGTAATTGTCTATTTGCAGATATACGAATACACCTATTATATAGATATATTGAATATATATACATATATGAATATATATATATATGACTATATATATATATATTTTGGTAGCACCCGCGCTCTCAACCCTGGAGAGACTTTTCCGCTTGGGCATTAGAGTCCCTGCATGTGAACAGATGGCGATTCGACACTGCTACCAATCTAAAAAGAAAAGTGGAGCTTTCCCAGGATCTCATCTATCTCTGACGCGCAATGGTGGTTCCTGGGATCTTTGGAATCTGAGATTCTTCACCTGCGTAGCCGGCAGCAATGAGGTAAGCTGCCAAATCCTTCAACTGAGCTGATCCAGACTTTCGATGTGACATCACATAGCCGCGGTATGAGGCCATCTCTGCAGTAGATTCATGACGAATTTCTGCATACGTCTTCTTCCCCTGAAACTTCCCAAAACTCACTTTGTAAGTTCCCCAGTCAGGCACTGACGTAATGCCTGGAGGCAAGCACATCTTCAGAGGGACTTCCACCGTAGAAGCATGAGATGAGAAAGGAACATCACCCACATTCGGCATCACGTATCCAGCTGAGCACTCCACATCTCCTGACACCGGTGCGTCGTTGTCAAAACGGCGTTTTGAGCCGTCGGTCATGGCACCCTTGCCAGAGATAAACTCATCACACAAACGGTAATCACCGTCGGCGAGACCAACTGCATTAAACTCCGTGTGGAGTCCATTCTCAATCCTCTTGACACGGTCCATCACATCATCAAAGCCTCCACGACTACGCGCAACCAGGACCAGTTGCACGCACTGATCAAAGTCGCTGACCGTCCAAGTGGAAGGCTCGGCATCAGTTCGAGGCATCTTGGAATTTGACATCTCTCGGCTAAAGGCGCTACGGTTTCGCTATGCTACACTGCTGAAACAAGATTGGCTAAAAAGGGCGGCAGTCGAATGCAGTTCTTTTCAGACACATGCGAAAAGCGGCTAAACCCCTTCCCCTTGATGGTTATTTATGATTATCTAAGGTCATTAAACATGACAAACCCCTTGGGACATGACTCAAGCGTTACTCTTCAGGCAACTGTGACTTCTGTGCAAAATTCCGTCTTCTCTCTCTCTCTCCTCAGCCCTTCGTTCCAAGATCTTTTGCTCGGGACTTATCTGATAACGTGCCGAGCGGATGCATGCTCTAAGGAGATCAAAAGCCTCAGGGCTCTCCTTAGTCAGTGAATCGGCCAGCATTCTGTCAGTTGGTAGCCATCGCAAGGAAACACCTAACCTACTGATGCAGTCTCTGATAATGATTATGTCTATAGCAGTCCTCCTATCATCCAAGGTGGGAGATGATTGTGACATGAGATGATCATAAAGAGATTTGCAGTCAGTGGCAACCAGCATCAATCGCTTGGAGGCATGATTCCAAAAGTTGTATACATAGCGAGGCCCATCCAACGCCTCTGACAGCAAAAGAGAAACCCATTCGCACATACTTGTAGCCACAGCCATGCTCTGTGCCTCAGCGCTGAGAGTAGAGCTCACGACTCTGGGCAGCCGTGCGCTTTTCCAGTATATTGGCGACCATGAACACTCAGCACCAACATCCATGTCTGCATGAGTGAAACTGATCATGTAACCTGCTTGTGTGGCACCTGCTTTAGCATTGGCAAACGCTGCATCAGAATGACACATGATGGATAACTTGTCAACCGGAATACTGGAAAATCTCAGGTTCTGATCGGCATGTTGCCGGGCACGTCGGACAGCATGGTTCGCGGCCAGTGCGTCCAAAACTGTAGGACTTGGAAAGGATTGTTGGGAAAACGAGACCTGAGTAGCCAAATCTGGTCTGGACTGTGTGGCCAGCCAATTCAGGCTACCGTTCACTGCTCTCAGACAGCTCACTTCTTTGGGAGTGAGCTCGGCCGACTTGTCTCGCAAACGATCTTTGCTAAAGTGGATTGGACGAAGCTTCTGAATGAACTTGCTTTGTGACATATGCACTTCAAAGGAAATAGGATCTTGAGTATAGCTAGCACCACAAAAATCCCCTCCCTCTATGCCATCGCGCCACTTCCGAAATTCAAAGTTCTCTTGCAAATGCTTGAGAGCCTTTTGATACTTAGGTCCATGTCCACCTGTTGCACAATCATCTACGTGAACACCGTAGATGCCAGTCAGCTCTCCGTTCTCTCTCATGTAAAAGAGGCAGCTATCAAAACGTGATTTCTCAAAACCCGCTTCCAGCAAAACTGTTGACAGCTTTCGATACCATGCTGATGGTGAGTCGTTCAACCCGTATACATGGCCTACCACTTCTATGAGAGCATCTTCCGGAATGCCTGGAATGCCGCCTTGCGGCAAGCGTGCAAACAATGGTCGATATTTGAGAGGAAGATCGCCAGCTGACAAAAAGGCTCCTTTGATGTCGCCCAACTTGAGACGCCACTTTTTGGAAACAATGAGCTGAAACAACATGTGCCTAGCAACTTGTGACAACGTTGGCGACTGCAAGTCACCGGTGACGGCCTTCACTCCAAGGTCTGGGTCCAAATGACCCTGTAGGCACCAGCGTGCCTTGACACGCTCTGGAGCATCATCCTCCTGCTTGATTGTGATTACATACCTACTACCCATGATGCGATTTGGCATACGTTTGCGTACCTGTTCAGCCTCGGGACCCAACACCAACCGAGCAGCATGTTTGGCCAGGATGGTATTCCACTCCAACAACTTGGCTTCATCTACTTTACGCTGGAGTTCAGGGGGATTTCCTGCACTACGGATCTCTTTGGCTGACTTCTTTTGCATGTAGCTAGCCATCAAGGTTTCTATTGGTTCCCCATTGTCTAGCATGGTTCTCAACTCTTCAGCTTCAGAAACTGTCAGGTTTTCCCTAGGCAATTGTTCAACAGTCGAAGGAGACGAACAATGTTCTACTGACAAAATGGTCACCTCATCACATGCAAACGTGGATCCTTCATGGTCAATGACCAACGCATCATTGGAAGGCTGATCCCGAGCAGGGGACTGTGTCCTCTGGCTTTTGGCAGAGTCGGTTGACTCGGGATTGGATTCGGATGAACTGCGCTTGCTAGCAGCCGGTCTTGTTTCGCTCTGGCTCGACTCGGACCTACCTGTGTTCTCACTACGCAGCACCTGTTCCAACAATTGTGGGACAACCTCTTGCATCATTTCTGAGAAATCATCTTGGGCCATGCGACCAGGACGAAACAGAGCTGGTGCTCCTTGCTTACTCAACACCTTTCTGCGCACAGGGCCATAGCTGGCAGCCTCTTCTGATGACTTCGCATCAGAACTGTGTCCACGGAACACGCTAACATCGGCTTCAGCAGCTACCTGTGGTGGCATCGGAACATCCGGAGGATCATCGAAAACACTATCAACCATGGGAGACTCATCTACAACCTCGGGTTCTGGCAGTTCCGACGACACATGCGACTGCTGTTGGCGGTCGGATACAGACATCGGCTCTGGCTGAGGCATGTCAGACGGCTCGGCTGATGGATTTGGCAGTGCACGATCACCTGAACCCGGTGGATAGCTTTCAGGCAACAGATCAACATACTGTCGACTATTGATAGAACCCTGGTCAATCAAATCCTTGATACCTGCCAATTCCAAGTGTGGTGTTTGAGACAACTGTTGTTCGGATTCTGTTGATGCTCGGATTTGTTCAGGGGCACATCGGAAAATCTGCTTCTTATGGATGATGACATAATTACGCCCCACATTACCCAAAACTACAGCTGGTCCGTGCCATTTCCCCTGGTTATCTAAGGAACCATGTACCCATTTTTGAGACCTCCAATATGCAACACTTTGACCGGGAGACATGGCAACTGTCACTCGGGGCCGAGCCGCAAGAGCAAGCTTCAAAGACCGGGAGTCCTGCAGCTCTAGCACAGCTCTTCTGGCTGCTTGACGCGTCGCAACTTGCTTGGCCAAGGCTTCCTGATACAGGGATGCAGTGGCTGGCACAACTTCCAGCGGTTCATCCATGAGATTCTCAGGGATTCGGGGATTGCGGCCAAACACGAATTGGGACGGTGTCATACCATACACTTGAATCAACTGATTTTTGCAATGGGATGCATGAACACAATCCAACCACTCTTGTTGATCTTTGGGGACCCGCTCATTGATGACTTTTGTGAGGATACGGTTAAACCAACCCCCATGCACTTCAGTTTTGCCTAACTGCCAATGGGCATTGGCTGCCGTGATCTTGATCTGAGCACCGTTCTCCTCAAGAGGGACTGTCAGGGCATCAGCAACGTTTGGCTGGGCCGGGTCGCATACCACTTCAGTCGGCATGCCTGCCCAAGAGACCCATCGCTCCATAAACGTGTTGAGGATCAACTCAGACGTCTCTCTTTTGAACAACGGCACCATCACCTGCAAACTACTGGCATAGTCAATCATATTAAGAGCAGGAATCTTTTGGTTAGTGGTCCATCCAGTCAAGTACTTAACATCGATACCTACCAGGGAATTAAATTCAGTGGTGCGATGTGTTTGGGCTGGTGGTGGCAACTTCGGCTGTGCATTGGCAACGCACTGCTCGCATGTCAGCTCTCGGGCTGCTTGCAAGGCTGCTGGAGAAGCACCTCCATGCTTCAGCACTCTCAACAACTGTTGATTGGGCGGATGTCCTAAGTTGGAATGCAATTTCAACAGGCTTTTCCGGAGTTGAGACCCTTCTTCAGCATTGAGCTCATCTAAACGAGCTGCTACCAGGCATTCGTGCGAGCAATCTGACTGCACTACTAGCACAGGCTGGGGCTGCAGTTCCGGAACCGTGGCAAGCACGCTCTTGACAAAGGCTGTGGGATATTTGCCAGCAAACTTGCTAACTGAGCCTACTTGAGGGACTGATCCAGCTATCACCTGGTGTTGGACATGCTTCGGATCTGCATTCCCCGGGCACTTCCTACTCAGGCTGCACATGTCACTGTGAGACAACAAAAGTCGGGTTGGCTTTCGGATAAGGTCTCCACCTGGGATGGCAAGGCCATATCGGCACATGTGCAAGTCAACAACATACATGTTCGGAAAGTGTGACAACAACATGCTCCATGCGACTGAATCCTGAGGGTGCTCGAACAAAACACGACCACCATTCCTCAACTGTACTTCGATGAGTTGCTTACAGAACATGATGAACAGTCGTGTCAGGACTTCCTTCTCTCGAACCATCTCAGGAGACATGCGTTCTTTGTTAAGGTGGAACCACCCCCCTGCCCATGTACATGGAGGACATAGGACAAGAAGCTCAGGGTTGCGGTTCTCTACAATGTCTCTCATGAGGGATCGATCACTCTGTTTCCTGAAATCCCAACCCGTGCAAAGGTCGGCAGATATACAGCTAAGACCACGAAGTTCACACTCTAGAGCAAAACGTGGAGAGAACACTTCAACGACATTGACCTTGGCGACATCCTTAGTCACTTCTCCCTGCCTGATCTGTGAAGCAGCTGACGGTGCTGCTTGGGCGTCCATTGCGTCAGGCAGACTTCGTTCTCGGTAAAGGCCTCAAAACAGGTCAAATCGGCATCGGGCTGGATGGCGAAAACTGTTCTTCCTTTCCACTCTGCTCCATGTTGGATTCGATGAGCATCTACTGAATTTGTCCATTGGTCACACACTTGGTATTCCGTTTCATCATTCATGGGCATGACATGAGTGACCCTATGTGGCATGAGATGCTTGACATCAATTGGACACTGGGTGTGACATGGCGTGAACCTGGCACGACGGGGCTTGACATGGTGTCTTACTACCAATCTATCTTTAGGCCTAACTTCCCAGTAGTCTTTGACTTTATCCCTGTGTTTATTTACTTTAACCGAGTGGCATGGTGGTGCATCAGTTCCTGGCTGGCAGTGCAGTGTCACTCCATGGCTCTCATCTGAGTCATCAGACGCATCAGCGGACAACACACGGGGTGCTACGGAGTCAGCATTGATTGGGCTATGACCTGGAAACTTGGAGACATTCACAGTGTACTGACCAGCCTCGTTCACCAGCATTGGCACTGTCTCAGTGCCGAACAACGTCAGCTCATCTCGATCAAAGTTCATGTGGGCTTGCAGAGTCTTCAGAGCAGCTCTAGACAACAACAAGGGGGCTGACCCTCTCACCACTGCTGCACGAACTACTCCTCTTCTACCAGCTATGTACACAGGCATATCGATCATCCTATGAGACACTTCACGCTCACCATTGCCAAACTTAAAAGTATTGGTCTCAGCGCGTTCAGCAGGGACTCGAACACCATGAGCTTTCCAAATGCAGTGAAAATCATGTAGGGTGTCTTCTCCTACAATGGTCTTACCGCATCCACTGTCCAAAACAGCAAAGCCGGGTGAGCTCACCAGGCAAACATCATGACATGTCGCATGTTCACATTCCAGCTCATATCCTGCCGAACAAATGAAGTGCTCTTTCTCATCAGTCACGACAGAGACCATACCTGCCGCATGATCTTTCCCAGAGGTACCAGCTGAGGCAGTTGAAGCGCTAGGGGCACCACGAGCCTTGCACTCTCGGGCAAAATGCCCCAACTTGTTGCACTTGAAGCACTTGGACCGCTTCTTAACCTCTTCCACCTCTACACGAAAGGCTCTACGAAGATCATTGGCTTGATTGAAACGGCGACTCTTCTGTAGCTTTGACAGCTCAGCACGTTTGTTTTTCCAGGAGGCCGCAAGTACTTCTGCGGCTTCAGACTCTTCCCATTCCTCATCAGGGCCCAGAGAAGAGCTAGCATGTTCATCAACTAGTCCATGCTCGGCCAACAGCAGCTCCACATCTTCGAAGCCAGCTACTGCATTAGAGCTTGAGGCCTGCTGATCAAACTCATCAGGCATTTCTTCCACCACATGGACTCCCGCAGCTTTGCGACGAGAGATGACATACTCAGGAAAACAGCTGCGCATCGCTTGAGAGACAGCATCAAACTTGAGGTTGCCTTGACCACGAGCCAAAACAACGGCCCTCTCGTGCTCCGTCAAGCCACTGCAGTTAAGCAGCACCCAGCCTCTGACCTCTTCTGGGAAGTCTACGCCGCATTTCCTGCGGCAACGGTCGAAGGCTTCTCGAGCCCTCGCCGACCACTGGCGCAAGGTCTCAGTGTCCTTGCCTTTCATGGTGAAGATCTCAGCTATGATCTCCCCAATCTCATCGGACTTGTCCTTCTGGGGCCATCGGGCATCCAAAAGGTCGAAAATGACCTTCTCTCCTCCCTCCACCTGGTATTGATCAGGTGTCAGGTGTTCAACTACTTCCAGTGCCTTCCCCTGGAGAAGCGTCCAAATGAACGCACCACGTGCCTCCTTGGGAAGGCGATCCATGACCAGAATTTTGTTCTGTGCCCACTGCTTCCATCTTTTGTATTCTCTGTGATCGCAGTCATCGCCGCTGAAATACTTCAGCGACCCCCCAGAATCCATGGCGATTCGCAGGGATCGGGCCTCTCCGGAGACCTCCCAAACCTACGTCGGAGCTTTTGGTAGCTCCGCTACCAGTTTTGGTAGCACCCGCGCTCTCAACCCTGGAGAGACTTTTCCGCTTGGGCATTAGAGTCCCTGCATGTGAACAGATGGCGATTCGACATATATATGCATGTATGACTATATATATATATGACTATATATATATATATATGACTATATAATTATATATACATTATATGTATATATATATATACACAGATACCCATCCAAGGTTGGGGATGTAGCCTCATATTTTAGATGGCTGAAATCAGCTCCAATCCCCACTGGGTCCTGCAGGACCAATGCCGCCGTCTTAGCACCATTGGATCCTACACCGGTTGTAGGGATTTACCCTGAAATACTATTGAAAATGGCCATTTATAGTTGATTTACCCACTAAAAATGGTGATTTTCAACAGCTATGTTAGTTTACCAGAGGGTATCCAGAAAAATACCCTCTGGTAATGACTAACATGAAATACCCTCTGGTTTAATACGGTTTATAGGGATGATTTGCCGGGATAATGATGGGATAATACTGGGATATTGATGGATATACCCTCTGGTAATGACATTCACAGTTTGCTATTGAACATGGCCATAGAAATAGTTGATTTACCCATTGAAAATGCTGATTTTCCTTAGCTATGTTAGTTTACCCTGAGGTAAATATACAAAAGATCTGGAGAATTACATGGTGCTGGAAAAATCATGGTTACCATGATCTACAAGTCGGGTTTTCCACATCTCTGTCTGTTGGGATGGCATTTTCTGAAACTGAAAATAGGGCTTGGGGGTGATAGTTGGCTTATGATAGGTTTCTGTTGGTAAACAGAACTACAAGAACTGTTGGATTTAGGGTGGAGATCAATCAATATACCAGTAGTTGAATGGGTGATTATGAACCGACAACCAGACCTGGGGGGGATTCTGGATATAGTTCAAACTTGGGGCACCAATATAATGGAGCTACAAATGAAACATGCTTTGCCATGTGCAGCGCTAAAGAATGATGAATGATGAACTGGTTGGTGGTTTCAACCCCTCTGAAAAATATTAGTCAGTTGGGGTTACTATTCCCAATATATGGAAAATAAAAGTCAGGTTCCAAACCACCAACCAGATGATGAGTGATGAAGGCTTTCATCATTTCGATTTCGATAAGCATACGATGTCATGCTCACAGGTCACCATAAGGCTGGTTCAGGATACAGTGGGCATATGATGGGATAAATGACCAGCAATATCTGGTTGGTGGTTTTAACCATCTTGAAAAATATGACAGTCAATGGGAAGGACTATCCAATATATCATGGACAATAAAACATGTTTGAAACCACCCACCAGATATGATGTTTTATTCAATCAATATTGGAGAGTAAAAAGCCGTAAAAGAATCAACCAACAGTCATTAACAGGTCTATACACTCCATCCGGCCTTTGTTTTCAAAAATAAGGTGACGAGTTGGGGCCGGTTCCCACATCGCCACCTTGGTTGGCTGTGGAGGGCGCAAAAGCTTGACGCCGCGGCCTGGAAGGACAGGCGGGTTGTGAAATAAAAATCACCAGTTGGTAGGTGAACACATCCCATGAAAAAAACCATGATTTAGTGTTTTATAGGAATCCCAACAGTTCCCAACTGTATCTGGTGCAGGATTTCATCATTTTCTTCCATCCACAGTATAACTTCTGAGAAAACGGGGAATTTATTTGGCTTCACCCAAGATGCCAGTGGTGAAGCTTCACAGGGCATCAATGCTTAAAAATTGCGATGATGGAACTTCTTGTCAATTCTCCTTTGAGTTTACTTGGGGCATTACTATTTTTCCTTGATCAAACGCGCTAGAGATCGAGTCCGAAAATCAGCTATTCACCAAGGTCTACCATCATTCAGACTTGTAGTTTTATACCCAAATCTGTTGGCAACCCTCCCTTATTTAGGATTGTTTATCTCACCATATCCAAACGTACTCCAAGCAATGTTGGTGGTTAAATGACCATTCTCGGGCGACACATCAGCATTTGACTTTGCTAAATCCCATGTAAACAATTTTTTTGGATAGGTGATTCCATTGAAAATAGTATTTTTAATGGTTTAATAATGTTAAGTACCTATTTGCTGCTGACTAAATCACCAATTTTTCTAGTCAGTTGGCTGAACCACAGGCCCCGCACCAGTACCCCAGCACCTGCTAAAGCGTTGCCGCCAGGAAAGCAGCCGTTTGCCTAGGGCCTCAGGATGTATCATCCAAAAAGAGAGGATGTTGCCGAAATTGGAATTGAACCAATAATAGCAAAATTGGAATTGCCCAATTGGATTGCAACATCTTACCAAAAGTGGATGTTCATCAAACAAAATTGGATTTGACACATAGAAAATTCGTTATACGAATCATTTAGCGGGTAATCATAATATATCATAGAAACATATGATGTCCGATGATAACCTATCTGTACAGCTTTGGGCCACAAGTGAACGCGAAAATTCAACATGTTTTTCCGATGAAACCGCATCTTCTTCAATGCTCTGCGTGGATGATATTAATCCATATCCAGGAAATGCCATATAATCCATGGCTAAATCATGTTAAATCCCCACATTCATCCACAAAAAAAAAGATTCCTAAGAGTGCCTAAGAGTATCCAAATAATTATATGCCATTATTCATCCATATACAATCTGCCATAAAATCTGCCTAAGAGTTTCCTCCTTCCCTTGATCCAGTCGGCGCCAATGTTGGCTCCCGGACACCACTCCGCTTTCGCCGCGGCCGGGAACCCGCTGCTGCGCCCACGGCGCCCACGGCACCCAGCGTGACGGCTGGAGGGCTGATGTTTGGCGCGACCTTGGGAGACCGGTTTCATCCAGAATGTGAGGTGAAACCTCCATGTTTATAGATGATTTAGCTGAAATATGCTGATTCTCCACTGTTTCTATATTTTTTGTATTGGGGATTTCACATATTTAATTCCGGGTTAAGAATAAAAATTGGGGTTTAAAGGCATCAACAATTGGTTTCGAATCAAGAAGACTTGATGTTTAGCAATCGACAAAAAACTGAGACTTCTGAATTCAACATATAAAACCTCTGGCAAAAATTTAGCATAGGTATGGACAATTCCATTTTTATAGATGATAAAAAGGATGATTTACCCATGAACAAAATTGTGATCTTCCATAGGTTAGATGCGCCTTGATTTGTTGGCCCCACAAATTCTGCAGTAAATTTTTGAAATGGTAGATGAACCAATGGGACGCCATAGGTAAATGAATCAAATCCTCAACTCTGCATATCCAGGAATCCAGCGATTTGGTTTTGCATGAGGGGACAGTGCATTGGGGAACCCAAAAAACTGGTCAGTGCTAAAAGCCATGGTCCGAACATCCCCAAATTGGATCAAATTGGATGGTGGTGCCAAAAAATCAATCTGGTTCCATCTGGATCCCATCTTGCCAAAACACTCAGTGGGCCAGTAAAACAAAGTAACATCTACCCTTCCGGCCAGACCCTCACTTGCGCACCCGGAATTTCATTCACTTGCGCGCCCTCACTCACTTGTGCACTCAGTGAGCAAAATGTCACTCACTTGCACACCCTCATCATGTCTCATTCTGGAAAAAGTCACTGCACTTTCATCATCTTTCGCTGTGGGGTGCTGTGGGGTGGGGTGGGACAATAACGCTCATATTCCTGTGCACACACAGGCACCGCAACCTCATCATCTTTCTTGCTGTCCTGCAGACACAGGCGCTGCTCTTTCATGATCAGTTACCGGTGGGGTGGGGTGGGACAATAACGTTCTTCTGCTCTCGTGCAGACGCAGGCACTGCTCTTTCATGATCAGTTACCGGTGGGGTGGGGTTGGATGGGACAATAACGTTCATGTTCCCGTGCACACACAGGCACCGCAACCTCATCATCTTTCCTACACTCATGGTTATATATTTATACAATATAGTTGCATGTATAGCCTCTATTATATATGCGATATATTGTGACTTGAAATTGGATCAATGGCTCTGCCATGGACCAGTCTCCTGGTCGCATTCGAGCAGTTTTCTTCGCTCTTTTGCTGTTAACCGTCTCCTTCCATTCTGCATCCAATCGGATGTAGTTTTCTGCAAGCAGGCCTGTATATCGGTGTTCGCATGCTCCTGACATCCAGAGGGTTGCCTTTTCGAAAAATTATGCCGGCAAGAGGCTCCAAACAGTGTGGTGGAGTGGGAAATAATGTTGAATAATGCGGATTATGATGAGGATGATGATGATGATGATGCTGATGATGATGATGATGATGGTGATAATGATGATGATGATGATGGTGATGATGATGATGATGCTGATGGTGGTGCTAACATGGCTGCGGGGATCCACCATTTTAAGAAATCCCCAAGTCTAACATGGCTCTGAAGACAGTGTTCTTTGGTTCCAGTTGATCACCAAGTAAAACTGCAGGAACATCTTCCCAATAATCATGAACCTATTAACAATCCTTTGAAGTCTGTTTCATTATGATTTCTATGATAATGCCTATATTGGGTAATTAGTATAACCTATAATCATCAACCGACCATCATTTATCAGTGATATCATGATATCCACAAAAGTTTGTGATCTAAAAGCAATATCCCCATAGTTTCATGGTGGAACCCCCTATTAAATAACTACAGTAAGTACAGTAATTGCAATCATCAACCAAACATGAGGCTTTTGAAACTTCTTACCCTCTGGTAAACTAACATAACTAGGGAAAATCAGGAAAATGACCTAATTTTTCATGGGAAAACTCACTATTTCTATGGCAATTTTCAATAGCTTTTTGTAGGTTTACCAGGCCGGGTCAGTGCGTTGGTTTTTTTCAGCCCTCCAGATTTCAAAAAAAACCTCTGGGCCTCCCACGAAACCGAATGTACCCTCATGGGCCGCACGCCACTGAAGGGTCTGTCCAGTGGCAGCAAACATGGAGATCTAACATGACTTAACCAGTAAGCAATGGGGTGCAACCAGCGAAAAATAGTAAAACATGCAAATATACAATCTGGTAATGACTAACAGTTTGCTATTGAAAATGGCCATAGAAATAGTTGATTTTCCGATTAAACATGGTGATTTTCCATAGTTTTTGGTCAACGTTTACCAGAGGGTAAGCGATTTGGAAAAAAAGGATTTCGTCTGGCATTTCAATCTTGGAATCGCAGAACTGGCAGAGGTGTTCCTCCAGGAATGGGGTGTTTCCCATGTCGACTATCTGGTTGGTGGTTTTAACCATCTTGAAAAATATGAAAGTCAATGGGAAGGATTATCCCATATATTGTGCAAAAACAACCGTTTGAAACCACCAGCCAGCTTGACAACAGCCAAATTCATGCAGTTTTCCAACCATTGATCTTGATATCATCCTTGGCTCCTTGCCCACATGCGACACAAAGGACATGCAAGTAACCCAACATAACCCAACGCACCGCTTGCTTTACCCAGAAAGAAACATGCCATATCCCATCATATTTCCGTTTATTGGTTACCCTCTGGTAAATTAACAGTTGGACCCTGGCAGTCATCGGGGTTGGAAGACTAGTTTCCATTAAAAATTGGCTATTTTCAGGGTCTATGTTTATTTACCAGAGGGTAAATCCCATAAACAAAAATCTCAGTGACTTCCCCAATCAATGGGAATTCCAGGATCCTAAAATGGAGGTACTGTACAATATAAGGCCATATTTTGTGGGGATATTCCCAATATTTCAGGGTAGGTTGTGTCCCTTTTTTTTGATGATCTACCAATCGTAGATACGAGTCCGGTACATCTTCCCATCCAAATGGCCAACAAAAAACTCGCAGTCTCTACTTGGTGGTGAACTACCCACGAATCGTGGTTGTGGTTATAACCCCAGTGATTTACATGGGATAAGTAGGATTAATATGGATTAATCCACTGAAAATAACTGGGGTCATAACCCACAACCACGATTCGTGGGTAGTTCGCCACCAAGTAGTCGGTCACGACAAACAAGGCCCAGCAGCAGGTCGCCTCTGGTCGCAGCAGGGCCCCTTAGAGGAGGAAAGCCGTGGGATCCAAAGATCCACAGATCCAAAAGCCACCCTTTAGGAATTGCCGTAGACAACCTTGGTAGGACAATATATATCTGTATATATATATATAACTATCTGTATATATATATATATCCGCCGACCCCTGCCTAGCCTTGGCCTAGGCGGGGCGGCGCCCGGGATCACCGTAGGTGTGCGGCATGGCCTTGTGCCGGCTTTGGCTTCAAAGCCTCAAAACCTACGCAGCAGCTTTCGAAGGCGTGCCGCTTGCTTGGCCATGGTACCTCCCTAGGCCCCACAAGCTGTTTCTCTTGGGCTTCGAAACTGCAGGCCTCAAAAGCCTCAAAACCTCCGCAGCAGCTTTCGAAGGCCTCAAAACCTCACAACCCTCCGCAGCGGCTTTCGAAGGCGTGCCGCTTGCTTGGCCATGGTACCTCCCTAGGCCCCACAAGCTGTTTCTATTGGGCTTCGAAACTGCTATGTGGCACGTTTTGGGCAGGCCTTAAAAGCCTCAAAACCTCCGCAGCAGCTTTCGCAGGCGTTTGAACCTCACACCCCTCCGCAGCAGCTTTCGAAGGCGTGCCGCTTGCTTGGCCATGGTACCTCACTAGGCCCCACAAGCTGTTTCTCTTGGCCTTCGAAACTGCTATGTGGCACGTTTTCGGGCAGGCCTCAAAAGCCTCAAAACCTCCGCAGCAGCTTTCGAAGGCCTTGGAACCTCACAACCCTCCGCAGCAGCTTTCGAAGGCGTGCCGCTTGCTTGGCCATGGTACCTCCCTAGGCCCCACAAGCTGTTTCTCTTGGGCTTCGAAACTGCTATGTGGCACGTTTTGGGCAGGCCTCAAAAGCCTCAAAACCTCCGCAGCAGCTTTCGAAGGCCTTACAACCTCACAACCCCCCGCAGCAGCTTTCGAAGGCGTGCCGCTTGCTTGGCCATGGTACCTCCCTAGGCTCGACAAGCTGTTTCTATTGGGCTTCGAAACTGCTATGTGGCACGTTTTGGGCAGGCCTCAAAAGCCTCAAAACCTCCGCAGCAGCTTTCGAAGGCCTTAGAACCTCACAACCCTCTGCAGCACCTTTCGAAGGCGTGCCGCTTGCTTGGCCATGGTACCTCCCTAGGCTCCACAAGCTGTTTCTATTCGGCTTCGAAATTGCTTTGTGGCACGTTTTGGGCAGGCCTTAAAAGCCTCAAAACCTCCGCAGCAGCTTTCGAAGGCCTTGGAACCTCACAGCCCTCCGCAGCAGCTTTCGAAGGCGTGCCGCTTGCTTGGCCATGCTGTTTCTATTGGGCTGCGAAACTGCTATGTGGCACGTTTTGGGCAGGCCTCAAAAGCTGCAAAACCTCCGCAGCAGCTTTCGAAGGCCTTGGAACGTCACAACCCTCCGCAGCAGCTTTCGAAGGCGTGCCGCTTGCTTGGCCATGGTACCTCCCTAGGCCCCACAAGCTGTTTCTATTGGGCTTCGAAACTGCTATGTGGCACGTTTTGGGCAGGCCTCAAAAGCCTCAAAACCTCCGCAGCAGCTTTCGAAGGCCTTATAACCTCACAGCCCTCCGCAGCAGCTTTCGAAGGCGTGCCGCTTGCTTGGCCATGGTACCTCCCTAGGCCCCACAAGCTGTTTCTATTGGGCTTCGAAACTGCTATGTGGCACGTTTTGGGCAGGCCCCAAAAGCCTCAAAACCTCCGCAGCAGCTTTCGAAGGCCTTAGAACCTCACAACCCTCCGCAGCAGCTTTCGAAGGCGTGCCGCTTGCTTGGCCATGGTACCTCCCTAGGCCCCACAAGCTGTTTCTATTGGGCTTCGAAACTGCTATGTGGCACGTTTTGGGCAGGCCTCAAAAGCCTCAAAACCTCCGCAGCAGCTTTCGAAGGCCTTGGAACCTCACAACCCTCCGCAGCGGCTTTCGAAGGCGTACCGCTTGCTTGGCCATGGTACCTCCCTAGGCCCCACAAGCTGTTTCTATTGGGCTTCGAAACTGCTATGTGGCACGTTTTGGGCAGGCCTCAAAAGCTGCAAAACCTCCGCAGCAGCTTTCGAAGGCCTTAGAACTTCACACCCCTCCGCAGCAGCTTTCGAAGGCGTCCCGCTTGCTTGGCCGTGGTACCTCCCTAGGCCCCACAAGCTGTTTCTATTGGGCTTCGAAAACTGCTATGTGGCGCGTTTTTGGCAGGCCTTAAAAGCTTCAAAACTTCCGCAGCAGCTTTCGAAGGCCTTAGAACCTCACAACCTTCCGCAGCAGCTTTCGAAGGCGTGCCGCTTGCTTGGCCATGGTACCTCCCTAGGCCTCACAAGCTGTTTCTCTTCAGCTTTGAAACTGGTATGTGGCACGTTTTGGGCAGGCCTTGAAAGCCTCAAAACCAAACAGCGGGTTTTCCCCTTCAAAACCTGCAAATTCCAGAAATCCCACATCTTTGAAGGAACTGGCAGGTCCAAGTATATATATATATCTCTCTCTCTCTATGTGTGTGTGAATCTCCGCCGACCCCTGCCTTGCCCCCCCTTAATGGGGGGTCGGCGGCACCAGGGCGTTAGCCCATTTATAGTTGAAAATAATTGTAAATAGATACTATTGATATTTACAAAAGAATATATAGCCAGGTTTTTTCAAAACAACAATGACAAATGACAGGTATAGAAATATGCTTTTCGTACCCATTCGGCGAAGGAGCTAAGCCATGCCACATGAATACCCAGAACGAAGTACCCTTCAGCAATCAAACTCATCAATCATTTATCAACTACAATGTGAGGCCCCCCAGTTGTAAGTTGGTTTAGATTCGCCCCAGTAATTATAGTAATAAGTACCATAAACCATAGTGACATTGGAGTTATTTGCACCCACTTAGCTATCGAACGGGGGCCTCACATTGTATGTCTATATTTGTAATTTGTCATGGTACAACCCCAAAAAATCATGCTGGCTCATTTCTCATTTCTGTGGCAAAGGTCGACGGTCAAGCCTTGTAGCCGTTCAATCGTTCAATTTTAATGGTGGCATTTCCTTCAAAAAACATAAAGAACATCCAACCATCATTTATCAACTATATGTCCTCATATTTTTCATGGTACGTTTCTTTTTAAACAAAAAATACATTGAAACCCAGGGGTTTTTGA